ACATATGGCAAGCATACTAAGCTCTGAAATCATGTTATACAAGGTGCCAAACCAAGTAAACAAGACAAGCCAAGCATGCAACTATGGTCCAAGGCCTAAGGCTCACCAAAAGGGTATTGAACTACACTTAGCAAAACCAAATATGACATGATTTGAACAACCAAAATCAGAGTTTTAGCATGTTAAAACAAAGTCAAAAACACATTGACATGGCATCCTAGAGGCCTAAACATGATGGCATACGTAATGGCACATTCATGGAGCATCAAACACAAACCCTCTAAGGCCTTAAAGGAACATCAAATGCAAGCATACCAGCATCCCATGGGGACTGAAATGACATGTTAAGTGATTCCAAACCACTGAAACGATGCAAGCAATGCATGCTCAACACTCTCAACACTCACACACCCAAGGCTAACAAGCCAAAATGCAAGGTGGCTATACAAGGCATGCCATGGATGGCCAAAACAACCACAAATAGACCTTAGGCATACTAAAACATGTACAAAAGCTTCACAAAGTTAAGCCAAAACAAGTAAGCATAGTGGTCTAACTGCTAGGCACATGTTAAGGCAATTTCATGGCATTACAAGACAAGTATGCAAAGCAAGCATGGTGTGTCCAAACCAACTTAAAAAAGAGGTAAAACATGGCAAAATACTACCAAATACCCACTAAGACATAGCCAACATGGTCTTAACAAGATGCTTACACATGAGGCTAAAATGACCAATATTGAAGGCAACAAGGAGATGGGATGGCCCTCTCCTTCTTAGGACCTTAAAGCACTATCCCCACCACTGAAATCCCTCAAGATTTCAGTGGTAAGGAGACCCAAATAAGGTGGTCCCGGAGCTCACCAAAATAGCACAAAATGGGGGCCAAACAAGGCCTATGAGGGGTCAAACAACCCCAAACACCAAAACAACCTTAAACAACTATTTTAAGCAAGTAAAAACAAGACTTTTATATGTTATACACTAAGCTCAAAAACAGATGCAAGGTAGGCAAAAAGACTATGCAAAAATGGGGTATTTAAAGGTAAAGTTCTTACCCTTGTAGACTTTCTTCAAGAAGAGCACTCCAGCTGCTTCCTTAGGTCCAAATCAGCTCCAAAACTTCAAGACCAACCTATTGGTTTCTCAGCAACCAAGGTAAGGTGTAGAACTAGGTGTTTGTGCACAAAAATAAGAACAAACACACACAAAGGTAAAAGAAGAGGGAGATATAGAGAAAGATAGATACACTATGCAAACCCTAATCTCAGAGCTCTCGCTTGAACTTCTGGAACTCAACCTTCTAACCCTTGAGAACGGAGGAGAAGGCCTCACTTTAGAGAGGATCACTCTTGCAAAGCTTACAAAACAAGCTAAGCAAGAGTAAAATCCCTCCATACACATATATGGAAAGGGGGCAAAGTGGGTGCCAGCTATCACAGCTGGCACAAAATATCTCCCAAAAGCAGATGCACAGTGGTCGACCAGCTAAAGATGCCAAATTGGCCAAAACAATGGTCGGCCGACCATCAATAGTGCCGACCGGCCAAACATTTGGTCGATGGCAACAAAACAGTGGCCGGTGGCCTCAAGCCATGGCCGGTGAGGTGTAGGGATGGCCAACAAGCCATTCTCTGCCTTTCAAAGCAAAAACACAAGTGTTTGGTGCAAAACCAAACACAAAACAGGCAAGTCGAGAGGTCTTGAGGCAAGGCGCGTGACCGAGACCTCCGAGAACTCAAGACGAACACGAACATGGATGATTACCGAGTGTTCAAACGGTGACGTCCAAGTCTTGAGGACGGTCAAAAATGGGGTGTCTACAGAGACAAAGAAAGAGAGGGAATCTGGAGAGAATGTATGAGAGAAGATGAACAGTAGTTTACAACAACAACAAGAGAGAGAGAGAGAGAGAGAGAGAATGAACAGTAGAGAGAGGAAGTTTACTGTTAAATAAGGGACTGGATTGGTGGTAACCGGTTAGCTATTTTGATTTTGGATGGCTAAGATTTAAGATTCCAATATGATGGTTCAAAATTATTTTCATGTATGGTACCCAAATATAGAGGTGTAAATTTGGTCCGACCTGGTCCATCCGGGTTCAGGTTGGGCTGGGCCCATGTCGAGCCTTATGGGCTACCGCTAAAATTCGAGTCGAATAGGGCTTGGTCGGCTCACGGGCCAAAAAATTAGACCCAGACCTAGCCTTAGGCCTAGGGGATATTTGAGCCTTGGACGGACCTGTGGGCCTAGGCTTGGCCTTGGGCTTAGGCTGGGCTTGGGCGAGCCTGACCATTTTTTTTTATTTTTTTTTAAATTATTTCTACTAAAATTTTATTATTTTCTACTAAAAAAGACACTGGGCCTCAGGCAGGTCGAGTGGATCGGGCTTCAGGCTAGCCGGGGCCTTGAGTGGGCCTTAAGCGGCCCACGGGCCAGGCCGAGCTTCAAAATAATGGCCTAGGCCCAGGCCTAGGGGCTCGAGCTTGGGCTGGGCTTAGACCAGGGCCCATCCCGGGCTGCGGGAGGGCTTCGGACCGCCCACGGGCCATGAGCCATTTTTACACTCTTACCCAAATACCACTTTTGAGTACTATAGTTGGACCCTACTCGTAGACGTAGAATTTCAAAATTGTAGAAGACTAGGGGTGTTTGGGAAAAAATTTTTTTGGCTTTGTTGGCTAAAATAGCACTAAAGGACAAAATAGTCTATAAGACAAAATGTCACATCAAACATATAATCATTTCACTTTTTTTTCTCACAAACATCACATTCAATTACAAAAAAATCCAATTATCTTTCCAAACACAAAAAATTTAGCCTCCTAAAATAGTCAAAAACTAAAATAGCCTACTAAAATAGCAATTTCCCAAACACTCACTATTGAGTTTGTTTGGGAAGTGAGTTGGTTTTTTTATTTTTTGGCTTTTTTAGCCTGGGGCTAAAAAGTCTCGTTTGAGAATGGATTTTTGACTTTTTTGACATTTTGTGGGAGAAAGAATGTAATGATTGTAGATTGGATGTGATGTTTTGTTTTATTAGGCTAAAAAACCTATTTTGTCTTTTTATAACTAAAATAGCCCTAAACTCAACCCAACCTAACCCAACCCAACCCTTCTTCCCAAACGAAGCTATTTTATAATTTGGAGACTAATGGTTTGTTTGGGATGATCTAAATAAGTGCATTTTTTGACTTTTTATGAAATATGAGTTGGGTTTGAATTGGGTTTGAAGTGATGTGTTAGAGAAGTAATGTGACTTAAATAAGATGATGTGACATAAGATAGTGACTTTTTGACTTTTTAACTTTTTTCAAACATGCCAAACCAACACTAAAATTGATTAAATAAAAAGATTAACATGTAAAATGCAACATAACGACATACTTTGGAAAGCTTTGGTGAAGAAAAACAAGTAACATAACCACCTCATTAGTAAAAATATGGTAGAACACCTAAAAAATTCATGAGCAAATAGGGAAAATTCCAAACATATAAGTGTTTGTTTGGCTAAGATTTTGGGATTAAAAAATTACAAAAAGACAAAATAAGCTATATAAGTCAATAAAGTAAAATACTACTTTTTATCTATAATCATTATCCTTTTTCTCTCACAAAAGTCAAAAAAATCCTAAAACAAAAACCAAACGAGGCTAAAAAAGTCTCAGACTATAAAAGTTGACTATATTAGCCAATGCTAAATGACCCCTAAGTTTAAATGGTTCTTAATATCCACACCATCTAAATTGATTAATGAGAGCTGAAATATTTTTAGATCTCTACAAAAAAAAAAAAAAAATCACTTTTCGATTTTCATTCAAATTTCACACTGATTCTTTATTTTCTAATGACAACAATTAAGTCTACATTTTAATCTTGTTTCAATATAATCCTCTTGTCACTCATTGTTTAAAAAAAAAAAAATGAATTTTACATAATTATAGAAACTTCTTTTGTGAGTTTAATAATTACACTAATCTCTTCTATTTTTGAAATTATTATCAAAGATTTCTCCTCCAATTAATTTGACCTCGAGAACATTTTTTAATAAATGATTAATAATATCCTGAATTAAAAACCTGATAAAATAGGTTTGTGCTCAGATCTGTTTCATCTTTTATTTTAAGCCTAATACCACTTTTTCTTTTTAAAACCTTGTGAGACTTACCAGAAATCACACTTTGATCAGTCTTTTTTAAACAAGGCAATTTAGAATACACTTTAAAATCTATTAAATTTTTAAAATTAAACTTAAATAATCAATTTTTCATTTTACTCAAATTTAGCTTGATAAAATCCGTTTGAGATCAATTCAAAAATTTAACAAATTAAACTTAAATTTTTTTCAAAACTCATTTAAAATTTCAAATCAAATTTAAACAATTAATCATGTAGCTCATTTATCCCCTTCGTTATTAGAAAATTATTAATTTTGCAAGACAAGTTATATTAGTGTCTCAATTTGATTTTTATTAGTTAAAACAGTAACACCTTACAATCTATTTATCCCTTTTTCAGTAGACAATTAGATAAATTTATCTCAACAAATAATTTAGAGCACTAATCAAAGACCACCACCAAAAATAAAATAAAATAAAATAAAATAAAAAATCTGATAAAACCAATTAACTCTTGGACACCATGACCCCATGCCATGCAGTTCTATAATCTGATAAAACCAAATAAGGCCAAGTTTGGCTATCCTAAATAAGTATACACTTTTTATTTTTTTTCCATCACATCATCTCTCTATTTTTCTGCACATCTTTTCATAAAAAGACAAAAAATATACTTATTTAAGTTATCCCAAACAACCCCTAACTCTTGGACACCATGACTTGGACTCTTAGCCGGCCGATCACCATGACCCCATGCCATACAGTACTATAAGCTCGGATTGCCAACGTGTAACGTATCCCAGCCGTCCGATCACATCAAAACCCCAAACACGAAACTTCCTCCCTCCAAAAACGCTGCGGGGTTTATAAATACCACCTCATTGTGAAATTCAAACCCAAAACACGAAACTTCCTCCCTCCAAAAACGCTGCGGCTTGTTTTCAGTTTGAGAGAGTTTTGGCAGAGAGAGAGATCTGAGAATGGAGGGAGCTTCGAAGGGGGCGGGAGGAAGGAGAGGAGGAGAGAGGAAGAAGGCGGTGTCGAAGTCCATGAAGTCTGGCCTTCAGTTCCCCGTCGGTCGTATTGCTCGCTATCTCAAGAAGGGCCGCTATGCTCAGCGCATGGGCATTGGTGCTCCCATCTATCTCGCCGCTGTTCTCGAGTACCTCGCTGCTGAGGTATCATCTCTCTCTCTCTCTCTCTCTCTCTCTCTCTCTTTCTCTCTACATACACACACACACACTTGTAGATCATCTTCAATGTTCCATTGATGAAATTGTGTATCAAATCTGTATTGTGATCGGAGAAAGAAGGCTTTTACAGATTTAGAATCAATTTCTAGTTCATTTTCCTTCAGATCCGAAAATCTCTCTCTCTCTCTCTCTCTCTCTCGGTGCTAGATGTTTTCAGATTCAGAATGTATTTCTCTATCCTTTTCCACTTACACTAATCCTTTATTTATTTTTCATTAAATTTGAATGAAAATTTGAAAAATCTTTCCTAAATTTTTATAAACGGAAATCATTTTCAACTTGTAGAAAATTTGATAGAAGAATTGATGAAATGATTGGAATCGAATCGATTGGAGATGCTCTTGTGTACATTCATTCACAAAACTAACCATTTCATCTCTACCATATGTTGAAATTTCCTCCTATCATCAGTGTCTACACATTCACATATTTTAATCGGTTGAAAAAATGGTGATGAAGGTGTTGGAATTGGCGGGGAATGCAGCGAGGGACAACAAGAAGAACAGGATCAATCCGAGGCACTTATTGTTGGCTGTGAGGAACGATGATGAGTTGGGGAAACTGCTACAGGGAGTGACCATTGCGAGTGGTGGTGTACTTCCAAATATACACCCCATCCTGTTGCCCAAGAAAACTGCTGCCTCTGACTCTGCCAAGGGTCCTCAGCCCAAGTCTCCCAAGAAGGCCTAGACCAATTCTCTGGTTTTTAGTTTAAACATAGGAGGATTCTAATCTTTCTGATTAGGGTTCCCCATTTTATCTTCCTTTGAGCTTTAGGTTGGGTTGTTATTTGTAATTAGTGTCTTTCTAATTTGCCATAATGGTTAATTGATGAATAGAAAGTTTTATTTATTTTATACATTTGGCATTTTTGGTTATTTGATGTAATTTGGTCAAAAGTTAGATTGGATGTGGAATGCTTTCAAATTTATCTTAACAATTTGTTTTTATCTTTCTTTAATAGAAGAAAATCATCTTCGATTTTTTAAACTGAAGTATCATTAAATTTAAATAAAAAAATGATTGTTGAAAGGTGGATAAAAGGTTTATTTTATTGATAGTTCAGTGGAAAAGTCTCTGTTTTGATTTTATATAGATTTGAATAAATAATTGGAACTTTTAGTAATAATTTCAGAAAGGATTAACTTTGTTTTTAATTCACAAGTGGATTGAATGATGCTGGTTATCAACAAATTATCATAACTCGCAACATATGGCTAACAATTGATAAAGACAAACTTAACCTTCCATGGAAGAGAAAAGTCTCTACTCCTGTGTTTGGAAAGTGAGGTTTGGGAATTTTTTGATTAAAATAATTATAAAAAATAAAATAATTTTTTTAGTTTAATAAAATAAAATGTCATATTTAATTTATAATTATTGTTTTCTATTTTTCACAAAAAGCTAAAAAAGTCAAAAGTTTTTTTCAAACCAAGCTGAAATAACTAAAAAAAATTTAAAAATTAAAAAATTAACCCATTTTTCAAACAAAACCTACAAAAGAAAAAAATACAATAAAACAATATAAAAATTACACATAGAAAAAATATTAGAAAACTAGATCTGCAACCTAATCAAATTTTCATTAATATATCTTTAATTTTTTTTTTCTCTTTTTTCAAAAATTTTCCCCTAAATTTGATAATAATAATAATAAAAAAAATTTGTCATTGTTTTATTTTTTTACAAATTTATTTTAATTATAATTTAATAAATGTGAGATATTTGATAAAAATTTTAATAATATTTTTGAGTTTCTAATATTACTGCTTTGAATTTCCATCTAAAAAATATTTTGGATTGGGCCTAGTGATGGGCTTTCTTTGGGCCTATTTCAAAGCACAGCTGAAATGATCTCACTGGCAGAGAAGAAAGACAAGGGTAGGTAGAACCATGAGGTTTTGTTAGGGTTTTTGCGTCAATCCCATTCCCATCCGTCCCAACCGATAATAGTTTAACACATTTCCAACATCACACAGATTAACCCAGCAAAATCCGAAGCTTCGACATCTCTCTCTCCACTCATGAAACATCTTTTGGTAATTGGGGTGTATCGCACTCTGTTTTTTCATCTAATTTTTCTGTTTGATTCCCGGGAAAAAGAAATTAAAGAGAAAATATTTTCATTCGTCGGCAGCTAAACGGACTATTATGACTGTATACACAAATATATATATACTGTGTTCAATCAATTTTCTCGTTATTAATTTAGATGTTTATTTGCAGAGAAAGGTTCCAATCTCCAACAGACAATCCCTCATACGTTTAGTGGCTTTGGCTACTGCTGGATCGGGGCTCTTTTTTTCCAACATTGATACGGATTCAAGTGAGGATTTTTTTTTCTTAAATAATAATGGAGATTGATTCATTCTGTTTTCTCTCCCTCTCTGTTTGGTATTTCTCGGAAAATGAAGGAAAATATAAGAAATCTCAAAGGTTTATTAAAAGGACAAAAATTGACTTGATTTAGCCAATCATTCATCTTTTCTTTCATGAATAAGTATTCACCAATCATTTCCAATCCTTTCGTCAAATACTTAAAATTTGTTTGAAAAGATGAATTAGACCATATCCACTCCAGACTCATATCTCTCATCAAATTCAAATTTTGATAAAAATTTGGTGAAAACGGTGTTATAACCGTTTCACTAAATTAGGGAGCATACTTTTTTTTTTTTTTTTATCAAATTAAGGGTGTGCTTAACTTTTCATCAAATCTCGCAGGTGTCCGTTGGTGGACGACCCGCCAGATAACCGGGTGGATGACCGGATTGGGGAAATTGGATGAAAATCTACACTAGGTCGGATGACCGGCCGGCCAGATTTGATGAAATGATTGGAGCACATCATATTAGATCAAACTTTTATTTAAATTTGATGAAAATTTTGAGTAAGTGCTGGAGATGCTCTAGGAGAGTCTCCAACCCTTACTCAAACTTTTCAGCAAATTTAAATTTGATGAAAAAGACTCACTTCTTATGCTCCAACGTTGGCATCAAACCCATGTCAAATGAGTGGCAATCCAAAACTTTTATCAAATTGAAGGAGGCTTCATCGTTCATCAAATTTTTGTAGATAGCCGTTGAGGCTTCATGTACATCGGACGACCGGCCAGTTGACCTTCCGGACAACTAGTTACTTGCAAAGTTGCCCATTGCCGGTTGTCTTCCCGGTTGTCCTCCCGGTCAACTGGTTGTTTGATGAAACTTAAAAAATTAGTATTGGAATGCGTGACATTAGATGAAACTTTTTATCAAATTTTTACTCAAATTTGATGAAAAATTAGAGTAAGCATCGGAGATGCTCTAAGAGGGCCATTTTTAAAAAGATTTTGATGGAAATTTGATGAAAAGGATTGGAGTAGTTCATATCAAATCGGACTTTTATTCAACTTTGGAATCAAATTAGATGAAAAAATTGGTGAAGGTTTGGAGATGGCACAAGTCAAATGGACTCTTTTCACCTGTTCTTATTTTGTTTCTTTTGATGGGTCAAGGAAGGAAAAACCAGAATTCGATGTTTGGAACCCTTTTTCCCACCTTACATTTTCTTAGCAACCAAATTGTTCGTAATTTGCTTCAATATCTGTATGATAGATGAATGAATTGTAGGAACAATTGTTTCAATATCTTCGCCATTGCGGGAATCCTTATCGTGGCCATGGAGAACTTTTCAAGAGACGATTCCTCGTCCTTCATTTGTTTCCTTGGATCCTGCACAATATGGTCTGTCATTCTAATTGTGATTTATTTAATTTTCTTTTTAAATTAGCATTGCCCCCTTTTTTCTCTTTATTTCATTCGGTGCATATTATGTAATTGTAGGAGATCTTCAATTATTTTTTTCTAGAATTGGCTTGGTCCCATCAGCAGATATAAGCAATAAAGTTTCTGGGGAGGTTGGAGATGGACCAAAACCTTGTTGTGGATGTTTGGGTAAAGATACCATTGCCAATGCGGCTGCAATGGTTGGTCCTGCTGTGGTCAATCTATCAGTTCCTCAGGGTATAGTTTAAGGATTTCTTTATCCAGAATTTTAGATGTTTTGCTGAGAAATTGAGCTTTGAGGACTGTATGTGAATTGTGTTCGTAGGTTTTCATGGGCTGACCGTGGGAAAAAGAGTATAGGCTCTGGAACTATCATAGATTCGGATGGCACTATTTTGACCTGTGCTCATGTGGTTGTTGATTTTCAAGGTTTTCGTTCTTTGTCCAAGGGGAAGGTGAGTGGTCAGACCTTCTTCATTGTTGCTTTTTTTAGGTAAGTTAAGATTTTTATTCAAAACACAAAACAAGAACAAATAACAAGGGTCAAAACCCAAACACAATCCTACACCCTGAAATTACAGGGAAAACAACCCAGTAATTAGTGATGTACTTGAAGGATAGAAGGAGAAAACATCCCAATCCCAGCCAGTCTACCAATTAATAAAGGAGGTCTTCACATACCTCAAAGAACATAGCCTAGCTCTAATGTCTCTAATAGCCAAGGCAAGAATAACATCTTAATGATTGTTAAGCTGCTTAAACACTCTCCCATTCCTTTCAACCCAGATTTGTTACGCAACACAAGCTAAAGATAGTTTATGGGCTATACTTTTAAGGGCATGATTAGAACAATTGATCCTACTACACCATTGAAGCTTATCATTCCAGCACAAGATACCTCTGCAAGACTGGTTAATACTCAAAAGTTGCTTCCAGATGCTCTGACCATGTGCACACTCAAAAGAATAAATGGTTATGACTTCAGTTGCTGCATTACACAGTAGACAAGAGGGATCTAGTTGCCTATGCCATTTTAACCAAGTGATGCCATGAAGCAGTAGGTTTCTTAGCTCTCAGAGAATCCCAGGCTGACTTAACAGGATAGAGCCCATTGTTGGAGCGAACCAAGCAAATCTCAGGAATTGAAGATATAGGGTAAAGAGCGATAACTTGCTGAATAGCTATATTTCTTTGCCTAGGCCATTGCCAAGTATTCCCAACTATAATATCAGAAACTTTAGCATCCAAAGCCCTTCCAGTGTTGTGCACTATTCTTTCACAAAAATGCTTGTACAAGGGACCAAGTGGGTGTGAATTATCCATCCACATGAATGTGTGCCTGCCATTGCCTATCTGATATTGAATTGGAGGCTGGTGATGAGCATTTTCTTCATTGCTTCTTGTCTTATCATTGAAAAGATTATATCAATATGCAATACTTTGCTTTAAAGCTTTCAAGAGAGAACATAGTTTTACCAATTCCTTAATAGTTTAACTAGAGGTTGATTTAATTGTAAAAGCATCAGAATTAGATGGGAATGCAAAATCTGAATTTTAAAATTCTTATATATATATGGGTGTGTGTGTCCGTTAAACTGTTAATGATATGCAGAACTTCAACTTATCAAAAAATAGGTAGAAATGTAGAACTCCAACTTAGTGAAGTTATTGTGGTGCATGTTTCAATGGGATATATCATTTGTTGTCTGAATTATCTTATGGGAGGAATCAATCAATTTATTAAATATATGTTCATTGCTTTTGATTGTTTGTGTAATGAGTGGCTTAAATTGTGCATCGTGCACCATATTTAAGTAAGAACAAAATAGTTGTGCTGTCTATAACATGTGTGATCACGAGGTTACTTTATCCAGTAATGTTTCCCCAATAAACTTTGATTTAAATAAGTGCAATATTCTCTGAAAGTATTTTTTTAAAAATAATTTTCTGCAATTTATCTTGTCATTTTTGGACACCCATGACTGTCCAATTTACTCAGAGCTGGATCTTTTGTTATTAGATTTATATGACACTGCCTCTCTCTCTCTTTCGCTATTTGCCAACATTAAGAATTGAACCCCACCCCTTTGTTTTAACTACCATGCCTATACCATTGTGCAACAATTTCTTTGGCCTATAATAAACCACTTATTTATTTATTTTTTGAATGAAAACAACTTTGGTGATGACTCTTTATATTGCAGGTTGATGTAACTTTGCAAGATGGTCGAACGTTTGAGGGTACAGTTTTGAATGCTGATTTACATTCTGATATTGCCATTGTAAAGATCAAATCTAAAACTCCACTTCCAATGGCAAAACTTGGCACTTCAAGTAAGCTTCGTCCAGGGGATTGGGTGATAGCCATGGGTTGTCCCCTTTCCCTTCAAAATACAATTACAGCTGGTATAGTAAGGTATGCTTGATGTGACTAAATTTGCTTCTCCTTCCACCAATTTTTTAGGTCAAACTTTTTTTTTTCTTCTCTGTATGTAGTTTTCACATAAAATATAGCTGTTAAAACTGAAAAATTTATCAACCACTACCGGATGGATAATTTTAAGTTATAGTGCTTTATTGGTTACTTGATTATGATAGATATATAAAAAATGTATCTTGCACAATGCTAATTGAAGTAGACATATTACTAACTGGTGAATGCCTTTTCCTTGCTTGACCCTTCCCTTTTGCTTGTAGTTGTGTTGATCGCAAAAGTAGTGATTTGGGTCTTGGAGGAATGCGGAGGGAGTATCTCCAAACAGACTGCGCCATCAATTCTGTAAGATAAGTTGTACTTTTTTTTGGGTCTACATTGGTTCTTTTTGTAGTGGCACAGACATGTATTTAGACTAAGACTAGGATCTTGGGATGTTTGATGGCCAATGCTAAGAAGGCTGACAATTTTTTTTTTTGAAATTTGTTAGATGAAAAAACCTTTGTAAGTTTAGGTTAAGGTTGTAAATGATATTGATTGTGATCTGAGAAGCACAGACACTTCTAAGAAGGTGACGTGTCTGTGTCGTGTTCATGTCAGACACTGACACTCGTTGGACACTTCCTGACATATGTCCGACACTTATCAAAACATGTCCTATTTTTAATTTTTTTTTTAAACCCGGACACTCTTCAGACGCTTGGAGGACACACATGTCAATCGCTTAAAGACACGCGTCCATCATTTAGACACTCATGAAACTAATTATAAGTTTGAACTAAATAAACTTAGGATACAATTATAAAACAAAAAAAATGTGAATTCATAAAACTGAGTGTGATATTGCATTTTTTTTATTATCTTTGAATGATACATTCTTATAGGGTTTTGTTAACAAGTGCACTTGATAAGAAGCTTGAAATGCTTGTACATAATGCATAGGAGTACGTGCAACATGTAATGTACAATCAATTTTAAACATTGTTAACCAATGCTCTTAAGGCACTCGTTAACCAAATCCATTTTTATATATGACACGTAATAAATATATAAAATTATATATTTAATGGGTGTCTCCTATGTATCGTGTCTTGCATTTTTTGATAATTGACATGTCGGAGTGTCTGTGTCATGTTGTGTGCCAAGTCCATGCTTCTTAGATTGCGGTATTAGAAAATTGTTTGAGGATTTGGAGAGGTGTTCTTTAATAAAAAATAGCAGATTTAGTTATATAAAAAGTTGCACAAGATGTACACACGGTTATGCCTATATTTCTGTGCGTGGCATTCTTGTTTGAAAATTATAGTTGCTTTTGTCATTATTGATGAGGAGGTTCTCGACATCTTGTTCATATGTATGTTTTTTTTTATTTTGGTATAGGGTAATTCTGGTGGGCCCCTTGTTAATATTGATGGTGAAGTTATTGGTGTGAACATTATGAAAGTATTGGCGGCTGATGGATTGAGCTTTTCTGTACCTATTGATTCAGTTTCTACAATCATAGAGCACTTCAAGAAAAGCGGGTATCTTTTATAGTTTGTGCGCAACTAATTTATTTTTAATGTTAAATTACATTACTCTCTGGTAATTTTAGTCTTGAAATCATGAATTGTTTGCTTCCTCTCTCTCTCTCTCTCACACACACACACACACACACATCCCACATGAATTTGAATACCTGAGAATGTTTGTGTTAGTTTATTAATGTTAGGGGTGTTCAAAAAAATCGATGGAACCGGTAAACCAATCCAATCCGGTCCAAATCGTCGGTTTGGTTTGGTTTTTATTAACTTCGATTCTAGTTCTAGTTCAATAATGGTGAATCCATTCAAATCGGCCCGGTTCTCGGTTCTAAAGCTTTGGTTATAGTTTCGAACCAAACTGAACTGAAGCATGATATATTTGTTTATTATTTTTTAACAAAATATTTTTATAAGTAAAAATAAAAATATAAAAGTTTTTCATAATATTTGAACTTTAGTCTGGATTGTAAAATTGACCAACTTTAACCAACTTAAGAAAACTAATTGTGGTTAGTTTGTTTACTAACATAAAATGTATATCATATTTATTGTTATATAATAAAATTTCTAGAACTGTAGAACCAAACCAGTTTCTATGGTTCGGTTATGATTCCAATTTGAATTTACTAACAGAACCCTTCTGAGAAAATAGTTGTGGATGTTAGTGATGCAGGAGCATTGTAATAGCTTATGTTCTAGAAACTGAGATGCCTATGTGGAAATGATATGTGTTAAATGTATGAAGAAGAAGAAGAAGAAGAAAGAATATTTTATTGATATGTGATTAGTTTTACAATGAAGGAAAGGAGACTATATATAAGCCAAAGTAAATCAGGGCTGATGTCATGCATGACTTCAGAATAGGGCTGATGTCTTGCATGGCGTCACCCTAGTAGGGCCGAGGCACACTTATAGAAAAACACATGCAGCGAGCTATATCAAGAAGACGATTCTTGCATTTTGCAACCCCATTTTGTTGAAAGATATTGGTGCAAAATGTCTGATGTATAATGCCATAAGTGAAAAAATAGCTCTCTACCCCCGAATCGGTGTATTTTGACAATTGTCCTAAACTAAGTACAAATCATTTTATGAAAATTTTGAAACACAGAAAAAACTTCACTTTTTTCTTTCATGAGATACACCCAAGTAGTACGCGAAAAATCATCGATAAAGGTAACAAACCATCTATGGCCTTTTAAAGTTATAGCACGAGATGGACCCCACACATCAAAATGTATTAAAGAAAAATGAGCTAAACTTTTATTAAGACTTGGAGCAAAAAAAGCCCAGTGTTGTTTGCCAAGTTGACAAGACTCACAAAGAACCATCTATGGCCTTTTAAAGATATAACAAGAGATGGATCCTACACATCAAAATGTATTAAAGAAAAATGAGCTAAACTTTTATTAAGACTTGGAACAAAAAAAGCTCAGTGTTGTTTGCCAAGTTGACAAGACTCACAAAGAAACTTAGGCACATTATTATTTGTGAAAACAGACGGAAATAAATGCCTAAGTAAATGAAAAGAAGGATGTCCAAGACTCTGATGCCACAACCATAAATCTTTCTTGGTGGTTGGGAACTGGATGGAATGATGAGCAAGTTTGTTCGGTTGATCCAAGAAATAGAGACTATTTTCTGCGCTACCACTGCCAATCGTCCTCCTCGTGATAAGGTCCTGAAAAAGACAATGATCTGGAAAAAATGTCACACTATAGTTCAAATCTTTGGTAATATGACTCATGGATAGAAGATTAACAGAAAAATTGGGAACGTAGAGTACTGAATACAGAGGTAAGGTAGGGGTGACATGAATTAAACATTTCCCAGAGATAAAAAAAATAGTACCATTTGCAATGCTAACTTTGTCTTGACCTGAAGAGGGTTTTTATGCTGAGAAAAGGTCAAAAGACCCAGACATACGATTTGAGGCACCGAAATCAATAATCTATAGCAAAGACTTATGGGAAAGAAAAACACTAGGAGAAAAAGGCTAAGTTACCTGAGCGTGCAAATGACGAGGAAGATGCATTGGGAGTAGTAGAAGACCGGCGAGTCAGCAAATGACGCAAAATATCCTCAAGCTCAGGAGAAGTCATGCTAGATAAACTATCAGAAGTCGGATCAACTGAAGCGGAAGTAGAATCAAGGATGTTAACGGCACTAGACTGATGGACCCGTGGATTATAGTCACGTTCTCTAGACTAGCTTGATTGACCGCCTCTAGTACCAGACTGATCACCTCGACTCCCTAATGGAGCCCCATGAAGCTTCAAACACGTCTCACGGGTATGCCGCGACTTGTGGCAATAATCACAGAACACAATATCCTTTCCTAAAGGATGGGAAAGAGGTAGTGACAAACCAGCCCCATATTGAGGAGCAAAAAGTAATGCTGAACAGTCTCTAGTAGCCAGTGGTAACATAGTAGAACAACGACTCTCATTCTGTACATATGCAAAGGCCTCTTGAAGCAATGGGAGAACATCCATGCCAAGGACACGACTCCGGACCGAATCAAACTCGACATTAAGGCCTTCTAGAAACTTGAAGACCCTCTCCTGTGCAAGAAACGTTTAGTAACCAACTGAGTCAATTGTACAAATAGGCTTGTAATTGAGGAGATGATCTAGGTGTTTCTAACCATTAGTCAGAAATGTGTAATACTGGAGAACTGTCTGCTTCCCCTTACTGAGCGCTTAATAGACCGGCACAACTCAAAAGACTGAGAAAATTCCCTTTTCGAGAATATGTAGCAGCAACTGCTTCCCAGATATCTTAGGCAATATCTATGGATAAGTAGCCTTCACCAATCTCAGAAATTATGGAATGAATGAGCCACCCTATGATTAAAGAGTTGGTAATCTCCCATTGGCTATAGCCAAGATCTGTAACACCTGGTGCTTGAACTCTCTTATTAACATATCCCATCTTTCCCCTACTCTTCAAAAAAAGTGTCAAAAACTGAGACCAGGAAAGGTAATTCTGACCAATAAACAGAGTGGTGGTGATTTGAGGCTAGGGTTTAGGTTCTCAGATATAGTAGTCATAACTGAACTGGAGCTCTCCCCTTTAGATGGGTGAAGAGTAGTGATGGCTTCACTAGTTAGGTCAGCCATAAGAACTCTACAATTTTAACCCAAAAAACATTGCACGAATCACAAGAATGGAAAGAGGAATGGAATGGGTTGGAACAAGCAAAATCACATATAGACCGCTATGGGAGCATAACAATCAATTAATGGGTCATCTAGGGACTCGAAAAATAAATCAAATACGGAAAAATGAACTTCTAATCAAAACAAGTGCTGAACTGTGTTCAAGAAAGTAGAGGGTAAGAAACTTGGGGCAACTAAAGATGGGTAGCCCTCAAACACTTATCAACAAGAGCCGAAATACACAAAGAGAGGCTAGGCCGGAGGGGGCCTTTGGCTCAAGCCGAAATAGCTTTGTGGGACCTTGACTAGTTTTGATGGAGACTTAGGGACCAGAGGTGGAGAATAGGTGATTGGTGGCAACGGCTGCGTGGATGACGGTTTTTAGGGTTTTGGCTTTGATACCATGTAATTTAAGAGAATACAAAACTTGAGTGATGATTATGATATCATCTCCTTTTTTATATTAATCAATCAACTGTAACAAAAGGAAGCCGTAAGACACTGATTAAGGAATCGCCTTTTATATTGATTAATTGATTGACTGATTAAGGAATCACAATCAATCAATCAATCACAATCTAATCTAAATAAAGAAACAAGGAAATATTCTAACAATAATGATGCTTCTTCATATACTCAATGGGTTTCTGAGAACGCCTTGGTTATGACTTTGCTCATTAACTTTATGCAGCCCACCATCAGCTGGTCTTTTCTTCTCCTAGATACTTCCTATAAGATATGGATTGCTGCATTACAGATGTATTCCCAACAAGGTAACGATGCATAGGTGTATGAGTTGAGAAAGAAGCTTCAAGGATTGGATCAAAAGGACTGATCACTTGCGGTGTACTATGTGGAGTTAAGTAGCATGTGGCAGGAATTGGATTATTATTAGAGTTTCCAGGCAGTGTGTTCCAAGGATGTAACTTTATTTCAACAGACTGTGGAGAAAGAGTGGGTGTATGACTTCCTTGCTTGCCTTAATTTGGAGTATGATCAGATTGCGTTCAAGTGTTGGGTCATTCTCTTTTTCCCTCCTTACGCGAGGCTTATACTCTCTTTTAGCAAGAGGAAAGTCGACGAAGTGCTATGGTTCATTTCTCTGTTTAGGATTGTTTTGTTTTGGTTGTTGCTCCATCCACCCATGATCCTAAGCCTAGTCCAGTTCCGTTTGCTAGTAAGGCCTCCCTGGATCGGTAAGAGTGTGATTATTGTGGGAAAGATCGACATAATCGCAAGCATTGTTGGAAATTTAATGGTCGTCTTACTTGGGGTCGTGGTCGTGGTAGTACTGGTCATCCACAAGCGCATGTGTCTAAAATTGCTACTAGTACCTCCGATGAGCCAAGTACTCCCCAGGATGAGTTATACACTCTCAGGCATTTGATGGCTTGGCCTGATTCTCCATCTACCACAGTTCCTCCTACTATTGCTTCTTCCAATTTTGCCCACACAGATATTCCTGCTAGTGCCCTTAGTACCTCCCTGTCGCCTTCTTGGATTATTGATTCTGGTGCTACTGACCACATGACAGGTGCCTCTAGTCTTTTCTCCACTTATTCTCCTTGTTCTAGGCGGGATAAGATTAGAGTGGCTGATGGCACCTTATTTTCTGTCTCCGGCAAAGGTTCAGTTTATTGCTCATCTTAATTTCTCTTTCTTTCGTGCTTCATGTTCCTAATTTTTCTAGTAACTTACTTACTGTTAGTAGCCTTACTACTTTTCTAAATTGATCAATTACATTTTTTATTGCTCATTGTGTCTTTTAGGAATTGGTTACGAGGAAAATGATTGGTAGTGGTAAAGCACATGGTGGACTGTACTTTCTGGATGTTATTCCTCCCTCATTACCGTTGTCCAACACTCAGGCTCTCCAGCGCACTACTGGTTCTTCTCTTTCCTTCTTTCATCAGTGGCATCGTTGTTTAGGTCATCCGTCCTTTAGTATTTTAGAAAGACTTTTTTCCTTCCTTGGTTCGAGATTGTTCTAGGGACACTGTTGTTTGTGATACTTGTGAACTTGCTAAAGTATAAATGTACTTGTTATCCTCCAGTTAATAAAAGAAGTATTTTTCTTTTTATATTTGTTCATATTGATGTGTGGGGGCTTTCTCCTGTAGTGTCTACTTCTGGATATTGTTGGTGTTTCACCTTTATTGATTGTTATTCCCGTGTGACTTGGGTTTTACCTACTTCGAACTAAAAGTGAGGTTTTTTCTTGTTTACGTCTTTTTCATAAAATGACATATAATCTCTTTAATGCTACCATTAAAATGCTGCACAGTGATAATGGAACTAAGTATGTTGATGGTATTTTTCGAGCATATCTTGCGGAGCATGGCATTCTTTACCAAACAAGTTGTGTTTGCACTCTTTAGCAGAATGGAGTTGCCGAGCACAGGAATAGCCATCTCCTTGAAGTTGCTCATTCTCTCGTGTTTACCATGAATGTCCCTAAGTCTTTTTAGGGTGATGTTGTTCTTACTGCTGCCTATCTTATCAACTGTATGCCTTCCAGTGTCCTCCAATTCCAAATTCGTCTTAAACTTCTTCTTGTGGCTTATCCCACGTCTTCTCTTCCTCCTCGGGTTTTTGGTGTGTTTGTTTTGTTCATTTGCAATCTCATATTCGTGGAAAACTTGATCCTAAAGTTGTGCGTTGTGCCTTCCTTGGCTATTCTTCTACTCAGAAGGGTATTATCCTCACACTCGAAAAGTGTATATGTTAGTATGGATGTCACCTTTCGTGAATTTGAATCCTTTTTTACTTCTTCTCCGCCATCTCGTCAGGAGCAGAGTGTTATGGATGAGATTGTGGATGAGATAATGTCATATCAACATGAGTTGTCTTTTTTCATTCCTAGTCAGCGGGCTGTTATTTGTGGTGAGGGGGGAGCCTGGCATTGGGGGTCGTTTGTACACGGTTGATTTTAAGATTTATTCACGATGTCAGAAAGAGCAACCATCCCTTGTGCCACCAAGTCAATCATCGTCCCTTGTGCCGGTTCCAAATCCTATTCCCATTGATTCTACAGGTAATACACCCCATTCTATTTCTTCATTAGTAGTTGACAGTCCTGTTGTTGATGATTTGAATCTTCCTATTGCTCTTAGAAAGGGGGTTAGGGCTTGTACTCAACATCCTATTTCTAAATTTGTGTCCTATGATTCATTGTCTCCTATATATCGTGCTTTTGTTTTGTCTCTGTCTTCTGTGTGTATCCCACAGGGTTGGAAAGTTGTTAATGATCCTAAGTGGAAATGAGCTATGGTAGAAGAGATGCAAGCCCTGAGCAAGAATAATACTTGGGAGTTGGTTTCTCTTCCAAGTGGAAAAAAATCAGTGGGGTATAAGTGGGTATTCACCATTAAGCAAAAGGCATATGGGACAATCGAACGGTACAAAGCAAGACTAGTAGCCAAGGGATTTACCCAGACATATGGATTGGATTATCAAGAAACTTTTGCTCTTGTAGCAAAGATGAATTTCATTCGAGCTATTCTTTCATGTGCATCTAACCTGGGGTGGCCATTACAATAACTAGATGTGAAGAATGCATTTCTTCACGGGAATTTAGAGGAGGTTTATATGGATGTGCCACCAGGATTCTCCTCAGTCTATAGTTGGAAAAGTTTGCAAGTTGAAGAAAGCTTTATATGGTTTGAAACAGTCTCCTTGGGCTTGGTTTGCCAAATTTCTAAAAGCAATGTTGAAGTTTGGGTATAAGCAAGCAATGCAAATCATACCATGTTTGTCAAACACAATGCAAATAAGGTAACTGTGCTTATTGTATATGTAGATGATATAGTTGTGACAGGGAATGATGAGGAGGATGTGACATATCTGGAGATGTAGTTGGCCAAGGTGTTCGAGATCAAAGATCTTGGCCCGTTGAGGTGCCTTTTTGGGATTGAAGTTGCCAGATCTGACAAAAGTATCTTTATTTCTCAAAGGAAGTACATTCTAGATCTTCTTGAAGAAACATGCATGTTAGGTTGTAAACCAGCTGATTCACCTATTGAGGTTAACCATCATCTTTGCAATGGTGTTGGTAACTCGGTGGAGAAGGAAAGGTATCAAACACTTGTTTGACGGCTCATATACCTATCCAACGCTTTGGCCGGATATTGCCTATGCAGTTGACATAGTGAGTCAGTTTATGCATGATCTTCGTGCAACACATTTGGAGGCTGTGTATCATATTTTGAGGTATTTTAAATTTGCCTTGGGAAAAAGGGATTTTGTTTTCTAATCATGGACACTTGAGGTTGGAGGCATTTATTGATGCAAATTGGGCAGGTTTTGTAGATGACAAATGGTCTACATCTGGCTACTGCGCTTTTGTATGGGGGTAATTTAGTCACTTGGCATAGTAAAAAGTAGACAGTGGTATCCCGGTCTAGTGTAGAGGCAAAATACCGAGCTATGATGCATGGTACTTGTGAACTCATGTGGCTTAAGTCCCTGTTGGGTGATATGGAAATTGTTTGTGGTGATCCTATGACTCTGTAATGTGACAATAAAGCTGCTATTAATATTGCTTACAATCCTGTTCAACATGACAGAACCAAGCATATTGAGATTGATCGACACTTTATTAAGGAGAAATTGAATAAGGGTTTGATGTGTATATCTTTTGTGAAGTCAGGAGATCAATTGGCCGATGTGTTTACCAAATATCTTAGTAGTAAGGTTTTTTATCCAATTTGCTGCAAGTTGGGCATGAGAGATATATTTGCACTAACTTGAGGGGGAGTGTTATGTGTTGTGTAAGTGTCTTTGTCATGGTGACATCAACCCTATTATGATGTCATCTATGATGTTAGCCCTGATTTGCTGTGACTTATATATAGCCTCCTTTCCTTCATTGTAAAAACAATCACGTATCAATAAAATCTTCTTCTTTTTCTTCTTCTTCTTCTTCTTCTTCTTCTTCTTCTTCTTCTTCTTCTTCTTCTTCTTCATACATTTAACATACTTCATACGTGCTCTAATTATACATAGCTTTTGATATCAATATCTGTTTAGTTAATCATGTATAGTTCATATGTGCCCTAATTTTGCACAAAGCTTTTGATTATTGACATCAATAGCTGTCTGGCTAATGATGTTGCTGTCCTTGATAGTTCTATATTTTTTTACATTTGACAGCAGGAGGTGTCTTCAATAGATTCATATCCTATAATATTATTTGTATTTATGTTGACTAGTTTGAAAGGTGCCTCAAAGGATATCTGGACAGTGCTTTACTATATTCGCTTGGGCCCCATAGTGCCATGAGTGTGCTTAAAGCATTGAGGAATTTAAACAAATTGTAGTCGATGTTATTCCCTACACTGGTTAGACATTTTGGTTCCCTACTCTACAGCAAAAAAAAGGGGGGAAAAGTTCAATTATAATACTAAAATTCACTCAAAGAGGCAATTTAACATATGCTTGATTATTTGCTAGAATTTTTATTTTTATTTTTTGGGTTCTAATGTGTTGCTGAACTGAATAATTGCATCGATGTCATTCTCATTTCACAAAAAGCAGTTCAAGGCATATTTGCGTTATGAGCACAACATATTAACATTGGTTTGATGTAGGAGAGTTGTTCGACCATGGCTTGGATTGAAAATGCTTGATCTTAATGACATGATTATTGCTCAGCTTAGAGAAAAGGATCCTAAATTCCCTAATGTCAACAAGGGAGTTCTTGTACCCATGGTATGCTTTTAGATCTCTCCATATATCACATCTACATATGCATACTTATATTTACATATATTAATCTCAGCTCTGGTGTCACTTGGAATTTAATTTTTCAAGGGAATATATATATTGCCAATATTGGTGTGACGAGAATTTAATTTAATGCTCGTCTTTGGAAATGTTCAAATAAAGGTTTTCAAAAATTAGTCGCTTTGCTATGTAAGTGCTCTTACATGATGGTCAAAGAATCTTGGATGCGTGACACATTGACACAACAATTTAAAAAAAATACGAGACACATGTGGGGAGCACACACGCAAAATATATAGTTTTATATATTTATTATATGTTATATATATGAATTTGTCATTAAAAGCTAATAAAAAAATATCTAAAATCCACTTTACCTCGTTGTGCCCCGGGGAAGGAAAACAAAATTTGATCGAAGTCAAATTTTAATGTGAAAACAAAATAACCTTTCCTCATCTTCTGACTTACATTTTCTATTCAAACTAACAAAATTTGTGGCTCCAATTTCTTTGTTGACAATGGGGAAGGAAAACAAAATTTGATCGAAGTCAAATTTTAATGTGAAAACAAAATAACCTTTCCTCATCTTCTGACTAAAAAACCCTAACTCTAAAACACCCTAATCCTAAACAAAATCATCCTTTTGTTTAGATCTTAGTTGCATGAAGTGGAAGTGGGAGCGGGAGCAAGGAAGTGTGAGCCGATAGAAGTTTCTTAGGTTGGGAGCACCTCGGGGAGCGGTAATATGTGTATATATATGTTTACCCAAAAAAAAAAAATATGTGTATATATATTTTTTAATACACATTAGAAGTTTTTTTTATAAATATTTTTATTTTAATACACATTAATTATTTTTTTATATATTATATTTTTTAAATAATGTGTTATTGATAATTTTTATTTTATTTTATTTTACATATATGTGTTTGTGTTTTTTTATTAATATGTATAATATATACTCATATATATATTATATTTATATGTGTATATATATATTTATATAATCTTATATATGTTTTATCTTATATTATCTTATATATATATTACTTATATTATATAGATCGTGAGAAGGCCAGAGAGAGAGAGAGAGCGCGAGTGAGAGAGAGAGAAGGCAAAGACGAAGGCGATCGCTAGCAGATCGAAGGTGAGAGCGAAGGTCGACGTCAATGTCAAAGGCGAAGGCGAAGGCTAGGGTTAGAGCGAAGGTCGACGTCGAAGGCTAGGGCTAGGGCTAGGGCTAGGGCTAGGGCTAGAGCGAAGGTCGAAGTCGACGGCGAGACCAGGTTTCTCTCTCTTCCTCCTTTAAGATCCCTTCTTGGACTGAATTGCATTTCTCTCTCCACAAAAATGCAATTTTTACACGTTTCTTTTTAGGAATCGCGATTCTTATTTAGAATCGCCACCTGATTGCACGATTCCTGCAACTAAGGTTTAAATCATCTATCCATAATAAATAGAATTCACTATAGTTTCTCATGTTAGGATGAAAATATTGGATATGAACGGTTTAGAGAGATATTTATTAAACTAGTCTTATTCCTAATGCAGTAGTCTAAGAAACATGACACAGGACACACAATGTACACGCAAATTTTCAAAAAATAGGGGACACAATACGTTGCGGACAAATTCAATGTATATAATTAAATTTATTTATTATATGTCATAAAATTATATAAAAGAATCATTGAAAGGTAATAAAAAATGAAATCAAACAAAAAACCACTCCATTGATTTAACGTCATATATCATTCACAAATAGCATAAAAATTACATTCCATCAATGCATAACATGTCATTCCAATCTACCAACCATCATTAAAATTAACAATTTCAGCAATGTCAACAATTTGATTTTTTCTTCAAATAAAACTAATTTGTTCTATAAAATAAAACTCATCAGTCAAAAAAATAAATAAATAAGGGGAGGGGGGGGGGGGGGGTTTACATTCAGCCCCCTCAAAAAATTGAAGAAAATGAGAACTAGAGAGTCGAAGAAAGAGAGAGTCAAAGAAAGAGAGAGCGAGAAAGAAGAAATAGAGAGAAAAAAAATCGAAAAACAGAGAGATCAAAGAAGGAGAAAAAGAGAAGAGAATCAAAGAAGGAGAAGAGAAGAACAGAATCGAAGAAGAAGAAACATACCTTTGATGATAGTGAACAGCAGCCAATAACCCTTTCTCTCTTCTCCTCTCTTCTCTTCTCTTCTTTCTGTCTAATGATCTAGGGTTCCCCCCAAAACAAGAGAAATTTGTTTTAATTTTTTCAGTTTGGCTCCATTTACAAGTTTTAGAAATTACGTGTTGTACCCTGCGGTGTTTGAAACATGTCCGAACATGTCCAAAATGTGTCCTGCTGCATAAAATAAAAAAAAAAAAAAGGGAACACCTTGGGGAGAGTGTCGGACACGTGTCCATAGAGTGTCCGACGTGTGTCTGTGTCCATGTCCGTGTCTGACACTCATATGCAGGCCCCGGGGAGGTGTCTGTGCTTCATAGGTAGTAGTAGTAGATTAGCATATATATATGCATAAAAGATTAAATTTTCAAATAAACAATGTTTATTCTCTAATCTAGATAGACTGATATGCCAAATAGGTACAAGTATTTATTTGATTTGAATAGTCGTATGAAGTTGCCTTGCTGAACTAGAAAGGACTATTATCATACGTCTAATAGAGAGAAGTCCTTCAACAGCAATGCATCTGCTAAAAAGAGGAGTATTTTTTCAAGTTCAACATAGTAACTAATTTTAACTGCTCAGAGAGTCTATCGGCTAAAAAATGTTAGTTGGATAAAATTGGAACATAACACAATATATTCTCTCTCTCTCTCTCTCTCTCTCTCTCTCTCTCTCTCTCTCTCCACGGGTTTTGCCTTTTGTTTAGATCATCCATCCATAAAAAATAAAATTAACTACCGTTTCTCGTGTTTGGAGGAAAATAATTGATATGCATGGTTAGAGAGAAATTTATTACATTAATCTTCGCCCTAAAATTTAGTAGTAGTAGATTAGCATATACACACATAAAAGATTAGAATTCCAAATAAGTTGATCAATCTCATCCGCTATTCTAAGTAGCTTGATATGCCAAATAGGTAAATATATGCGTATATTAGAATTCTAAGGATGGGAGCATGTATATTCTTTACATATTGAATATATCAATATATTAACATTTATTTATTTTTGCTTAGTTGTAATATGTACAAATATTAGAGATTGATGTCAACTAAAAATTGTCTTTGTTAAATATAAATAAGTGTTATGTAAATTGTTTTTCTTCCTTGGTAGGAGCAAGTTTTTTACTTAGGAGTGCGAAATCAAATTTGTTATTAAGAAGTGTGACCCAAGTAGGAATAGAGCACATTGAATGTAGATAAATGGCTATGCCAACATTTCTCGTTTTGTTAATTATTTTTACAACCCCTACCCTCATTCACTATTGGAAAATGGGGTGTGGGGGGAGATTGGGGATTTGGGAGCATATAATTTTCAACTTAATTGCACCATAAATGGTTTGTGTCACAATTTCACAAAGGTTTAAAGCATAACATGTCTGTCAAACCCTACCTGAGGCTCTCTCATTCTTGGACTCCCTAATTCATTATTTTATGTGTGGTGCTAGCTAAATGTGCTAATGCTTCTATCCTTCAGTGAAATATTTTTAAACAAATTCTTGTTATTTTTATTATTATGGCATGCTGCTGTTATGAAGTAGGAATGTGTTGAAAAGAGGTTTGGTATGCCTATGTTTTATTTGGCTTCAATTTTGGTATTTTCTGTGTTCTGTCATTCTCCCTTGACAAATATAAATGGATGGTCATTATGTGCTGTGATGTTGTTCATATACTTCAATTTTTTTTTCCTGTAACTATATGTGTGTAATACCACCACAAAGATATGCTCAAAATGCACCAAGATAATCTTGATCACATTTGTAACATTGTATGTTTTTAAAATCTAATATTTTATATTTTTTTACCAGGTGAGTCCAGGTTCACCTGCTGATCGTGCTGGATTCCGCCCTGGTGATGTAGTCGTTGAATTCGAGGGTAGGCCTGTTGGGAGCATTAAGGAGGTATCTTAAACTTCTCTCTTTCTGGTGTAAAAAGTTTTGAATGGGATCTAATTGCATCATTAGTAGGCCCTATTAATCTACCTGATTGCATGTCCTAAACTATTGCAGAATGCTAGAAAGTGCATAAAACTGATGATGGTTCAAAATGCAACTTGACTCTGTGTGTGTACACCATTGAATCTAATGGATTTTTGGGTCTAGTATCCCAAGTTTTCCTTCTAGTTCTTGTTTCACACTTGCAACTTTGATTATTTTTTACATTTTTGTGTTTCCTTATGTGTACATGATATTATTGGGATTTTTGGCAGATAACTGAAATCATGGGGGACAAAGTTGGGAAACCCTTGAAGGTCATTGTGAAAAGAGCGAATGATACTTCCGTGACTTTAACTGTGATTCCTGAGGAGGCGAATCCGGATATGTAAATGACACAAGTTCTCCTTTGCATATGTATTATAAACAGTTCACAGAGAAAATATACAGTTATCGGTGGTGGTCGAAGTGTTGGGTCGATTTTAACAATTTGTTTCTTGGATCTTAGTCTCCCCTTTGGTCGGAGTTGTTCAACATCTAATTAGCAAATTGTGAATCAAAGAAAATTACTTTTCTTTTAGTGTTTGTAATGATGGTTGAGTTGACTGCCTTCTTGTCATTTTTCATATTTTTCTTCTCCATTGTTTTTTCATATCAAGTGCCAATTTCCGTCGATTTATAATTAATTTTTTCAATTTTCATTTATCTCGTATTTCCTAACTTAGAAAATTCCAAAAGAATTCAATAAAACATGAAAACATTCCATCTAAAAATGTTGTGACAACATATTTTTATAACAAAAAAAAAATGAGAACAAAGATACTCTTGCCTTTGATTGAAAAGGGGAATAGTTTCATTTGTTTCATAAGTGTTTGCCATGATTTTTCATAAGGAGAATATCATGGAGTATGAAAGCATTTTGCAGACATCATGTAAGAATTCTCAAATTGGTTTTGAATCCTTTGATACTGGAGTTACACAAGAACCTAACAAGGTTGTGTGCTTCAATGGTGGAAAAGAGGTTAAAAAGTGCTTCATCAATTGTAGATCCAATTTTAAGACTCGTAACACAAATTCTTTGGTTTCTCTGCTTGAGGAATTAAAATTGACAGTACGTTATAGCTCATTTTTTTCGATTTAGTGTAAATGGGAAATTTAGATAAAGTTTTGAGAATTTTATAAAAACTTGTAGAATCCTATATCAAGAATAAAATAAAGAGAAAGGAGGGTTATTACTAGGTTAGGCTATTTTCTAATCCAAGATCTGGATTGTGGATTATTGTTTGAATCTGTGAGGCTTACTATGGATACTGTGAGTTAGGGTTCTCTCAATTCCCAAATTTGAATGGTAGGGTATTGTTTGAATCCGTAGAGCTCACTACGAATCTTGTTTCGGAAAAAAAAAAAATTGAATGATAATTATATTTTTTATATTAGACAATTTATATTTTTGAATGCAAATGTGATAAAATAAAAAGGACAAATTACACTAACAGTTCTTATAGTTTGGGACTCGTATCACTTTGGTCCATGATTTTTCAATTGTGACACATTTGACCATGAATTTTAAATCTTATTTCAAATAAGGACAATTGAAGATACCATTGTTTAATTTCAAAGGCAAAATCGTCAATTTAATAAAATATAAACTAATTTAACAAAAATAAATGTCAAAAAAATATTTTAAATTTAAAAAAATATAATTTTATCCACCAATGATAAAATTATGTAAAATTGACAAAAATTAATAAAAATTACATGATTAATTTTTAAAAATTAATTTTACATGATCATCATCCAAACATATAATAAAAATTAATTTGGTAAAAAAAAAAAATAAATGTTTAAAAGATTTATCAATTTTACATAATTTTATTTTTAGTGGGTAGAAATAATTTTTAAAAATTCAAAAATATTTGTTTGACATTTATTTTTGTCAAATTAGTTTATATTTTTTCAATTGTCCTTATTTGGAACAAGATTCAAAATTCATGGTCAAATGTGTCACAATTAAAAAGTCAGGGACCAAAGTGACACAAGTCCAAACTATAGGGACTATTAATGTAATTCACTCAAATAAAAATGTAACAACTATCGGAATAATCTATTTTTTTTAAAATTTTTATGAATGATATATAAGAAAGAACCTTACAAAATAAATTATTCAGATCATTTATGGTAAATTACTTGTCTGTTTGGTTTAATTTTTTAAAAATTATTTTTAAATGAATTTTTGTTTATGTTCAATATATAAAAAAAAAGTGAAGTGTTACAAAATTGACATGGATAGGCCCACAAGGCTTACGGCCCACAGCAAACAACCCCAAACCCATCGCTTGGGACCCATAGCATAACCCAGTTGGCAAAGCCCAGGACAGCTGGAGGCCATCTGGACATGGAGGGCCAATGGCATTCGGGAACATGGCAGGTGAAACACAGGCCACATCAGCAGACAAAGATCTGCAGAGTTATTGCCACAACACATCACCATTAATGCAGCTCATCACAGCATTTATTACGACAACACCTCCCCGTCGGAACAGAGCCCCCTCACCCTGAACAAGGTAAGCTACGGCACAGGCTTTCGGGGGAACGGGGCATGTCACAAGGGACAGTGAAATGATTACCAAAGGATATAAGCAAGAATCGAAGACAAGAGGAAGGTTAAGGCTCTGTTTGGTTGTGCTCTGTAATCAGTTTTCTACCCGTGTGTTGGAGCATGATGTTTGGTTTCGTTTTCAAATCAATTTTCTACACTCTGCAGAGAGAACTCTGATGCACAGGCGCCTTTTTTGTCCACCCGGTAGACCACCCGAATGACCACCCGGATGTCCACCCAGATGTCCGGCTGATTTCCAGATTTTTTTTTTTTTTTTTTTTTTTTTGCAATTGATTTACATAATCGGGACAAATATTTTCTGAAAATTTTTAAATTTTTTATGTGCTTTAAAATAATTTTGAGTTGTAAATTTTTGTATCACATATCAAATGTCACATCAATAGTTCCCCACTCAAATCAAACCTCTTTTCCAAAACTATTTTCAAAACTCTTTACCAAACAAATTTTCTACACTCAAATCATAATTCCACAACACACAAACTCAAAATACAACTCATACTCTCAAATCACATTTACAAAACTCTACCAAACGCTACCTAAGCTTTTCTATCTCTCGCTCTCTCTCTCTCTCTGTATTTTTCCTTCCTCCTTTACTGATTCGCACGCCGGAGGGTTCACTGGGGGACTACCCCGTTCCCCCTGTGGACTTGCTTGCAGGTCATCTGGTGGAACCATCCGCCTGAGTCGGGACTTGAGGAGCTTGGACCAGCCCGGCCCATCCACCCAGGACAAACTGCATTATCAAAAATAATGAAGGTACAAGTAATTTATACATTCAATTATACAAATAAATCTTGTACCTTCAGTAGTTGGGAGAAAAAAAATTCACTCTCCACTTTGTTTAAATTCTCCCATTTTTTTGTTTCATATTTTAGTCAATTTTTTTTTGTACTTTCTAATTGCACCTAATCTAGATGTATCTAAAAAGTAATAGAAATTGACTTAGATTATTAAAACAGTTACTAAAAACAAATAAAAATTTGAATAAAAATCTGTGTGCATTTTTGTTCGGATTTTTCATTTGTTTTTAGTCATTTTTTAAAAAATATTTTAGTTAATTTTAATTGTACTTTTTAGATGTTAATCTTGATATATCTACAAAGTAAAATTAAATAAAAAAATTGACTAAAATATGAAAAAAGTTCAATAAAAATTTATCAGTAATGCTATATCTACCGAATTTGGTCTGGTTTGAATTGTCCAAATTTGTGTGTGCTAATCATCCTGGAGGTTATTTTAGAGGTCATCTGGCGAGTCATCTGGAAGGATACCGATTCGCAGGGGTGACAATCATAGTTGACAATAGTGAAGTCGGTTGTTCAACTTGTCATTTGGGCGATTATCTAATTATGTCATTCGAGCTGAGCTGAACTGAACTGAGCTCCCTCTATTCTGGTTGACCAAGTATTTCTCTTTTATTATAACACTATTGTCATGTTGTTACCCCCTTTGAAACAAGCAAAATCCCTTTTACGGCTAATTTGGCATATGGATTGGGATTAAATTATCCCACTAAACGATAAAATACATTAATTTAGTTAATAAGAAAAAATATTACATTTAAATTATAATCATTTTATTTTTTCTCTCACAATTATCAAATCAATCTTAAAAAAATTAAAATTAAAATTTTATTACGAACAAAACTTTTTTAATTAAATTAAAATAATTAAAAATTCAAACTAAAAAAATTTAGGATTAATTACCAAAAAGTCATGTTTACATATTTGGTGGTAGCTTAGGTCCTGTCAAAAAGTTTTTGAACCAATAAGTGTCATTTATAAGTAAAAAGACGTTTTGCCTTTTAATCCCCAAACTGAGAATGTTCTCAATTTCAAAACTGAGAATGTTCTCAATTTTTTTCATAATAAAAATTAAGAATATTATAAACTGAGAATGTTCTCAATTTCAAAACAAAGAATGATTTCAGTTTATAATTATCAAAACTAAGAAATTTCTCAAATTTTTTTCTAATATTAACTGAGAATATTATTCAGTGTGTTTGGTTTGAGTTTTCTGGATTAAGTTTTTTGAAAATTGACTTTTTTGGTTTTCGTGTTTTTTTGTTTTTAGTGAATATTTTTTAAATTTTAAACATTTTTTTTTTACTTTTTTAGATGCACCTTACTTAGATATATCTAAAAAGTAAAAAATTTGTGAAAAAATATTTTAAAAAATTAATAAATACATAAAAATATAAAAAATGTACTGAATTCTTGTATTTTTTTTGTATTTTTGATATTTAGTGAATTTTTAAAAGATTTTTTTTTACTTTTTAGGTGTATTTATGTTAGGTGTGTTTAAAAAGTAAAAAAATTGCTTAAAATATTAAAAAAAATCAGTAAAAACAAAAAAAAAACGAAAAATAAGAAAGTAGAATTTTCTGAAAAGTGTTTTTTGAAAAGTGAAAACAAATTAGTTTTGAAAAATTTCTCAATTTTTTTCATGATTAAAATTGAGAATATTATCAATCTACTCTCTCTTACATTTACTTTCTCCACTGCTCCAATGGTTGGAGATGCACAGGTATAAGGAATAGGATAGGGAAATTTGGGAACAGAGATGAAAAATATTATATTTACCTTTTCCTTGTTAAATTTGGAATCCAAACACAACCATACTAGTCACAAATTAACCAAAATAAGCAAGACAACTATAACAATGAGACATAAAAAATAAAAAAAACCAATGTGAATCCATTGAAGCTTCCTGAAAGATGGAAGAGACTCAAAAACAAATTGGTTGGCTATCCAGAGGCAGTTATTACAACTGGAGAGACAGCAAGCTCATCTTATGAATATGTTGCAAGTCTGTTAAATTTATTTGCACTGGTTCCTATATTTGCTTATCTCACTCCAGTTTTCATGCATCGTAGGATTTCATGGATGGGTCCCGTAACGGCATGGTTACTCTAGAGAACAGAGTATGGGGTCTAGAGAGAGTTGTCGAGGACATGGCACGCGACTTGTCAATATCCTCAGGTCGAAGAGGTAGTAATTTTATGATGGGATTTGAGGGATCTTCTAATAGGCCTTCAGGCAAGTACAACGGCTTCCCTGACTACTCTGGTACTAAGTTGGGGAGAAGCAGTGATGGGTGGACCTCGTTTGCGGAGAGGTATACTGTATCTGATACTGATAGTATATTGTCAGCAATGAGAGGAAGATGACCTCCTTGGAGATCTGATGTTCCTGATGCTTGGGACTTTCACACATGGAAAAAATGGACATATGGCCTCTAGGAGAGTCATGAGTGGTGGTCCGGTGGATGGTAGGTCCCCTAAGTCAGACCATGAGAGTGACCAGATTGGTGACACGAGAGCGCTTGGGACTTTCACACATGGAAAAAATGGACATATGGCCTCTAGGAGAGTCATGAGTGGTGATCCGGTGGATGGTAGGTCCCCTAAGTCAGACCATGAGAGTGACCAGATTGGTGACACGAGAGCTTGTGATAAAAGGGGTTGGACCTATTAAGATGGAGGAATTCTTGGAAGGATAAATGAGTCTATTAAAAATTAATGAGACTTGAAGGAGTAAATAATTTTATCTAAGACTTAATAAATTATAAATACATAAAATAAAATTTGTATGTAAATGTTCCAAAAATTTATTTTAAATGAGCCCTTAATTTTATTTATTTTTCACTAATTTATAATTCTTGACGTTCAAGTTTGGCAGTGAAATTTCGTAGGAATTTTCAGTATAAATAATGGATCCAATCCGGTCAGCACAAGTCTGCGCAACTTTAGTCACCTTTAGAGAGAGAGAGAAAGAGAGAGAGGACGTTGATACCTCATGAGACAATTTTTACGAGTAACCACTTTGAATCTCTCTTTCCAGATTTCATTCTTTCTCGCTCTCTCTATTCGGTGTTTGGTCGGTTAGAAATCGCTTGGAAAGGGAAAGAAATAAAAGGAGAAACAGAGCTGCCGTCCCGAGATTGCAAAGTATTTTATTTAATAATCGCGCTTTCCTTTCTTTTCCTTTCCTTTCCTATCGGTTTCTCGTCATCCAAACACACCGCAATGTTCAATTATTAGATTATCGCTCAGCATATTGTTCATTTCCTGATATATATATATATATATATATATTATTTTCTTTCGTAGAGAAACGTTCGATTCTCCGATGCAACTTCTCTGATTCGGATCGTCTCTTTCGCTGTTGCCGGGTCGGGTCTACTGTATTCGTACCGTGACGCAGGTGCTACTGAGCATTCTCTTAACTTTCCGCGAAAATGCTACTGTTTGGTTGCCTAGAAAAAATCGTGGAAAATAATAGAAAATTGAGAATATATTCATTTTCAGCCTAGTAACTGTGCGATTTTCAGCAACCAAACGAAGCTTGTAAATTGTTAATTCTTGTCAATTCATTGATTAATTAACTGTTAATTATGTGTTGAATTCTAGAGACAACTGTATCGGTATCGGTAAACACTCCATTGCGTGATTCAGTATTGCTGCAATGGCCCACTGTGAAGGATTTGAGACCTTGTCTTTCAATGGTTACATCGGCTCAATCGAGAAATGGTTCGACACCACATTGTTATGTTTACTGGATTCCCTCTTATATTTTCCTACAAATACATGCATTTATATGTATTAATTTCTTGTTTTTCTTCAATGCGTTTGCCCAATTGTAGGAAATATTGACTTTTTTCTTTCTAGAATTGGAAAAGTTCCACCAGAAGATGTGAATAGGGATGTTTCTGGGGTTGGTGATGGTTCAAAGTCTATTGCCACTGCAGTTGCTATGGTTGCCCCAGCCGTTGTCACTATAACCGTTCCCACGAGTACGTTTTTTAAAAGGGCAAATTACAATTAAGTGTTTTTTTTTTTTATACAAAATAATTACTAATTTATGAAAATGTTTAAAATTTTAATTATTAATGTTCATAAGGTTTTCCACTGATCTGAAATTATTTTCAAAAAGTTACACTGAATTGTAATTGCCCATTTTTTAAATGTGTCTCTGCAGTTTCATAATTGTGTGCTTATAAGATGGATGTATATGCTGTTTGAGAACTTGACCAGTAGGATTGTTTGTGTTGGTAGGGATGGATGGGAAGCCTTATGCATATAGTGCAGGCTCTGGAACTATAATTGATTCTGATGGTACTATTTTAACTTGTGCTCATCTTGTGATGGGTTCTCATGGCAAAAAAGTTAGACATGAAGGCAAGGTTAGTGGTTGAACTCTTCATATTGCTAGTGTTCTTCAAATTTTGACAAATAAAAGGAGATTAAAGTCATAAGGTAGTGTGCACTTATTGTCATCAAGGCATTGTATTATGTGGCATGTTTTGTGGCAGTATGATGTACACTCCATTCTATGATTTCTGATTAGTTATATTTCCAAAATGGTTAACCTTGCAGGTTGATGTGGCTTTGCAAAATGGCCAAACATTTACTGGTACTGTGATATATGCTGATTTGCATACTGACATTGCTATTGTGAAGATCAATTCTAGAACTCCTTTCCCAGCAGCAAAACTTGGATCTTCACATAAGCTATGTCCTGGGGACTGGGTGGTGGCCATGGGCTGTCCCCTTAGCTTTCATAACACTATTACAGCTGGTATTGTCAGGTAATCAAAATTAATTGAATTGATTTATCTTTTGCTTATTCATGAATATTGTTTTTTGATACTTTAACATGTGTTAATAATTTTGTCACCAATTATGAGATTTCTGTTTGGCTATTTCATTTGAGGATATCTCTTCTCTTGATCATACTTATCAATATATATATCACGGCAGAAATATATTAGAGCAACTTCTGCATTTAGGATGAATGGAGGTGAACCCTTTACTCATTGTTTATGCTTTTGTCCCACATTTCTCCCTTTTACATCTAGTTGCGTTGATCGTAAAAGCAGCGAAATGGGTCTTGGAGGAATGCTGAGGGAGTACATACAAATAGATTGTGCAACCAATCCGGTAATATTGACTTTTCCCTCCCCCCTCTCTGTCTATATATATTCTACCATGCACGTGTACAGACAAACGGGTCTTTGTTTCTGCCTGAACTTGGGTGCGCCTTCTATGTTTATGAAATGTAGTTTCATGTTGGCCTTTTGAGATGAATGATTGGCAACCAGCATCAGCTGTATATGCGTGCTAGAGTTCATAAGGAAGCCTTGTAGGGGTTTGACCATAAAGGGAGACGACTAAAATGGTTTAGTGACATGCCATCTGAACCCCGAGGAACTAAATTTCATTCTGTTGATAAGGCTGATACTTTTCAGTTTCAGTTAAAACAAAACCTACATCAAATATTGAAATTCCATGGGTTTGACTGAAATTATGTTGTCTAGGTGTGTTTTGAGCATGGATGATATTATCTGTGGAGTTGAAAAATGATTAATACCAACATCATCTTGATATCACTCATATGGTCAGGAGACTCAGGGGTCATCATCTGGATATCACATTTGATCAGGGTCATCTTTTGAATATCAGTTATATGGTATAGGTCATTCTCTTGTGGTTACACATCTGCAATATGACTTGTAAGCCTCTCATCTCAATGGATATGAACTTGGACATAGACAGATGGGAGGTTGATTAAGTGCACCTCCCACGCAACAATATATATGAATGTTCTATATGAAAGTTTCAATAGTTTAGTGATTTGGCTGTTCGATATGAGTTTCGAAAGATTAGAGTGGACTATGGGGTAACATAACTACGTGAGTTGGACTGATTATTGTTGACATGTTCAAAATACGTGTAATATTTCTCTTAGTGCATATCTAGAGCATGGGTTGTTGTGTGCATTTGCTCAACTCTACATACCAGGTTCACATCAATTTTAGATTATATAATGATATGCAGAATTATGTATGCTTGGTTTTATGTATAATGACGTACTTGACAGTTTTTGACTATTTTTTGTTCACATTATCACTTGCCTATTCAATTTTATTAGAGTTTCTCCAGTCCAAATAAATATGTATCCCTCAAACATGTTCAATTATTGATAATTAGCCTTTGAAATAGGTCTGTGCATAGACCCACACAACCCGATGTACCTGCTCAACTCGACCGAACCTGACAAACTGCGGTTGATTTCGATTCTTAGAACGGTCGGTGCCAGTCTCTGAAAATAAAAAACTCTGAATTCACGGTCGATGATGATTCTGAGTAATAGCCATCCATCGAAACCGGCCCGACTGTTTTTTAATAATAAAAAATAAAGATAGCATAGGTGGCTACATTGGTTGATGTGATTGTAATCATGAACATTGAGAGTAAAAAATACATAAAAAACAGATGGCTACATTGGGTGATGTGATTGTAATTATCAACATTCATCAGTCTCCTTGGAAGAAGTCATACAGCTTCTTGAGTTTCCAAACTCTAATCCCTTTGTCTCTCTCCATCATTTCTCATCTGTTCACCTCCCAACCTTCTCTGTCTCAGTTTCTTTCTCTGTCTATCCCCAATCAAACTTTCGATCTTCCTCACTCACCTCACTTCTTTCACGCTTTGGTGAATCCTACTCTTATCAGCAATGGGGAGTATAATCCGATCTCCCTATGGGAGGCAATATAATGACGACGTAGACGAAGGCATCAATGGAGGTTTTAACCAAATCTGAGATATAGTGGTGATTTCTTTCTGAGATCTTGCTTCAGATTTGATATATATATATTTTTTAATTTTTTTGTAAATCTCTCTCAAATCTATGCATATATGTATATATCTCTTAATCCTTGCTTCAGATCTGAATGTGTGTATCACTCAATTTTTTGCTCCATTACTGCTATCGATTCATTCGTTGTCTCCAACCAACACCGACCGCCAAATTGTAGTTTTGGCTTGGTTGATTTCGAAGATTTGATTGGTCGACCACGGTTGAGCAGTATTCCAACTTGAAATGTTCGGTTTGGTTGGTGGGCTACCAGTAAACCTGACTTGATCTGATCCGTGCACAGCCCTACTTTGAAATACAAATAGGGAGACTTTGTGATTTCTTATGTTTTGTTTTTTTTTTTTTTTGATAAATACTTTGTGATTTCTTATGTTTCCCAATTTTTATTCATTTCCATTTCCAAACCAAACTGAAACAACCACCAAAATGAAATTTTGGTCCTTGTCAAGGGCATATCTACATACACTTCAATGGGATCGCTCGAACCCACTCAAATTTGAAAATATTAGGGTTATTTTAATATTTTCTGAAATGGACACCACTAATGATTTATTGAAAATGAGGACATAGTGGATAGGCCCATCACTCATGGAACCTGGGTTTTAGTCTCACTAGCTGCAACTATGCAGCTACCCTTATCCTATATGATGTTCTTGTACTCTTGGGGGAAAAAAGGTAGATGGGCAAATTTCTACTATCAAAAAGTGACATGCTAGTCTCATAAATTGGAATCAAAATTTTAGAAGAAAGTTAAAACATCTTAACTTTTTCAAGTTACTGTGCTAAAATAATGTTCACTCATTTAAAGTTTATGCAAAATTTCTGTCTTTTTTTGTGTGCGCACGAGAGAGTGTGTATGCCTATCTCTCTTTGTGTGTATACGCTTATCTCTCTTTGTACAAGAGAGAGATTCATCGACACAATTATCATCTTTTGTTAGTTAATACATAAACAAATAAGTACTCCAAACTCTAATTTATTTAATGAGATACAATTTAGCTGTAGTTTAATTATTTGATGAAACTTAACGATTTTAATAAAATCAAGTGTTTAGATTTTGATTTTTGATTAACAAAACTTGCAGGTTAGTTATATACTTTTTGTTTTTCTATTATTATTAATTATTTTTTTTTTTGACTTAAGGTTGCTTGTGAGGCACCCGCCTCCACCCATTAATAAATTCTTGATAAGGCATTAGCGATTGTGGGGTGTCTGAAATGTTTTTGTGAAATTAGTATGTTGTTGGAAATTTTAATTACACTTATTTTTTTTCTCTTCAATTTCATATGAAACTAAATTTTATGAAAGTGAAAAACATACGAACAATTATCTCTTTCTTTGAACCCACCCCCCCCCCCCCCAAAGTAAAAAACCTGGCTTCGCCACTGGTCCTTGTCTGAACCTCAGTTGCTTTGATATTACTCATTCAAGTTAAATGTGGGCATTGAAAATGATGTACATTGTGATGATGGGAGAAGGTTCAATGAGATCCTTCTGGAGACATGGGTAGGTACATGAGAAAAATACACTTATTTAACTCATATTTTGGTTATATTCAGTATTTAAAATCTTTTATGCTGTAGGGGAATTCTGGTGGGCCCCTTTTTAATCTTGACGGAGAAGTTGTTGGTGTTGTCATTATGAAACTCAAACATGCTACCGGGTTGAATTTTGCTGTGCCAATTGATGCAGTTTCCAAACTTATGGAGCAATTAAAGAAAAATGGGTATGAAGTTCCTTTTGTATGTATCTTCTACTTTCTTTGTACTTTTAGCGTTTTTCCCACATACGCCATGAAATTATGACTTCTTTCAATTTTACATCACGAGTAATATTAATGTGTAGTCATTAAGCAATTCTTGACCCCAAAGAAACAGTTGGTCCGAGTACGACTTTACTTGCCTTATTCTTATCACAAAAGAAAAGCCTACATATTTGGTGCCTTGGTGTTCTTATTTTTATTTTTATTTTTGGGATGATTTTGTAGGCCTTTGGAGCTTGGAGATTAACCATTAACTTAATTAATCCTTATCTTACTTATCAAAAAGTATATATATATATATATTTTTCGAAGTTTGGAGAATGCAATATTTTGTATTGTACGTACTTTTGGATAGTTGTGTGGGGTTGGTTCTATTTCTGTTCCTCCGAATGATAAGTTGTTTAAATACAACTTTTGGCCAGAGGGGAATTGATGCTAAGGATAAGGAAGCTGTGGGGGAGCTAAGCGTCATGGATGGTGGAGCATTAGAGATGCCTAACTATCCCCATTGGCTGTTTTACCACCAATTGATGGTCATTAGGAAGGTTGTGTGTGGATAGGTGTTGGATGCTAAGGAGAAGACTAAAGCATTTGGATAAAATATAGGGTATCATGCAGGGGTTGTAAGCAAGAAGGCATGTAGCTTTTAGAGGACATTATCTAACTTGTTATCAGTTGATCCTCTCTCTCTCTCTCTCTCTCTCACACACACACACACACACACACAAATTGAATGAAATTGTAAACATGTGGGGATTTTGTTGCTGAGTATGGTAGCATTTTTGCTAGTTTCTTCTATGGCACTTCTGACTAGTTCTTATTTTTTGCAGGAGAGTTGTTAGACCATGGTTGGGGTTAAAAATGTTGGATCTGAACAAGATGATTATTGGCCAACTTAAACGGAGAGATGCCGCATTCCCTACTATTAACAAAGGAGTTCTTGTGTTCATGGTAATTTTTTCTCATTATCTTATTATATATTCATGTAGACATGGGGTTTGCTGTGATTCAAGTTTTTGAATGCAACCATGCAACTCCACAAAGTCTCAAAGATTTGGATTTTGAGAATATACAAAAAAAAAATCAAAGATTTCCTGTTCTTTATACTTTTTGCACATTTTTTTGTAAAAAGTAAAAAAGTCATCCCAAACATACTAGTTTTTTTATTTTTTTTATTTTTAATCTCATATTTTAGCCAAAAAATAAAAAATTCTGTTCCCAATTGAGGCCTTAGTCTATCTGAAAAATTGCTAATGTATTGATTTTATTTGTCACTTGAATTTGGGCAAGTCCAAAAGAGTGTTATATACTGACACATTTACTAGGACTCGTTTACATATTTCTTTCTATTTGAAATTTTTAGAAGTCTGGGCATGTAATAGAATTAATTCAATGGAAAAAAAAGAACATAGAGATTAGAAATTCCGTTTCAGACTGATGTTGTCAGATCTTGTTGCATGACTTGTTTGATCTTCTGTTGGATCTCTGGCCTACCAAGAATCAGGTTTTTCCATCAGAAAAATTTTAATTTGTGGTCATTTTGTTTGAGATGGTAGGCTGATGTCGAACTTAGCTATCTCTACCACCTAGGGTCATTTCTTTGTTCATAGGTCACCTGCCTTTTTGCCATTGCCTCAGCTGCATTTTTCCTTTCCTGCCCTATTAGTGCCTTTAACTTTAGCCTTTTAATCTGTATGGTTTTAATTATTGATCTCCATTTCAGATGACAAAGTCATCTTGACTCACTCCAATGTTTTCACCAGTTGATGCTGCCTTGTCTTTTCATGGACGTATTCCCTAGAGTCTAGTGTTCTTTGTGGTGCTATTTATTCATGTTGCTCCACATTCCACATTCTGGGAATCAGCTTTCACTTATGGATATTCTGGCTTCTGTTGAAGTAGTTCTATTCATGGCATTGTGGGGAAATTGTAGGGGATGGTTTCAGTGTGCTTCTTTTGGAAGCAGATGATTGTTATTTTTATTTTTACTTTTGTTTTGGGTCTGATGGAAGCAGATGAATAGAAGGAATTTTATTAACAATGTGTCTCATGTTACTGCTTGCAAACACCACTGGTAGTAAAAGATTGGGGAAATTGCAAAAGCATAGGAAATAATTGCACTTTTAATATAATCTTTTCGGTGCACTAAAAAGATTCCCCTGAAATTGCAATTACTTTCTCATCCTTCCACTGATTTGCAATTTCCCCTAAAAGATTCTGCAGGTGTTGTTTTCTTTATTACCTCTTCACTAGATTTTTATTTCTATTTTTTTGATATTTCTCTTCTTCCCATTTATTTTAGTATATCTTTTTGGCCTGATGGATTATTCTTTGTAATTTCATGTTTTGCAAGTTCTTTAATCAGTTATTTAGTTAATTTATTAGAGAAATATTTATCAACAAAAAAAAAAAAAACTTATTACAGAAATAATTGAGACATCTCACATTACAGGACAATCAATCACTGCCTGATGGTTTAATTAGCTGGATTTTATTCTAATAAAGTGTTGTTCAAAAGCAATGTTTGCCAAACTTTTCAGTTTGTAATGAAAGTTCTATTGTGGGGACCATATTTTTGTTGGTTTCTAGCAATTGCAAAGGAGAGGTACGTGGAAGAGATCGTATGATTTCAAGGGAAAGTTATATCTTGCACTGCCTCATTCCTTCAGTTTTTCTTTCTTCTTTGTGCTACCTTTTCTATCTCTAGGTATCCTGGGCAAATGAAATTATCATTTGTTGTCAAATCGGGAACAGCTTTTTATCATTATCACCTTAAATTAGTTTTTGATTCTTTCACCAATTTAAAACAAAAAAATGCATATCGGCATACAAGTGAAATTGTTTCACTGATATAATAGCAATCATGAATGAAATAAATATTGATCTGTAATTCTCTATTTTATCAAAAGAAATTGTATGCTGTAAAAATATATTGATGGATATTATTGATTGATATATTGATATAGTGTATTTATTACAATTACAAGGATTCCTATTATATAGGAGTGTGTTTGGGAGTAGGTGGAGAGTAGGTGAAGTGGAGGTGGTAGTGGTGTAGTGGGTTAGGTTTAGTGGAGTAGGTGAGGTGGTAGTGGTGGTAGGTTTATGGTAAATTCTAACATATGCCTCCCATCCCATGCCTGATAATTTTCAAATTCTTGAGCAGGTATCTCCTGGTTCACCTGCTGATCTAGCTGGATTCCAACCTGGTGATGTTGTCATTGAATTCCATGGAAAGCCTGTTGGGAGCATCGCAGAGGTACATTGTTCATGCTTTTCTAATCTGGTATTGGCATATTGCTGGAAGCGCTGGCATATCAAAGTTTCTCAAGTGAAGTGCGTTGTACCCAGAGTCATTGTTGTTAAATTGCAAATAAAATCATTAATTGTTTTGCTAAAATAGTGAAACGTGAATCGTAAGATTCACCTAGCATAATATGTAAAATTATTTTATATGTTGTAGACTTAAAAATACACATATAGTGTTTAAAATGAAAATTAAATTGTATTAATATAATTAATTGATCTTTTTATTTTTTATTTTTTTGAAAACAACGTCATTTCATACATTATGCGAAAGAATTGAATCATAGTGAATCATAATGAATCAAATGAATAGTAGTAAATTGCAATTGAATTGTAAGATTCACTCAATTTAAGATCCAATTGCATGAATCGAATCGTATGAATTGAATTGGGAATCGTAAGATTCTAACAAGCATGCCCATAGTTTTTTATTTTATTTATAGATATGCCATTCATGAATTTGAAGGTCATGAAGATCTCACATCTTCAGGGTCTGTCAAAAACAATTATCTCATGGTGTCCAGTCTGTCGTAGAAAACTGGACATGCCAATTGACATTAAACAGTAGTAATTTGGTATAGAAAATTGCAAGGAGACAGAATGAGCAGGCAGAAGTACCCAATCAAGTGGAATTTTGATTCTGGAAATTCTAGGGTTTCCCTCCAGTTTTTACTTCTCCTGCATCATTAGGTCACTACTGATAACATTTTTGTATTTTTGTTTTTTATATTGGCAGATTGTTGAACTGATGGAGGACAGCATTGGTGTACCTTTTAAGGTAGTGGTAAAAAGAGCTAAAGATACTTTAGTGACTTTGACTGTCATACCAGAGGAGGTAAACCCTCAATTGTAACAATAACACTTTTCGTTTTCTGCTTTATTTTGAATTTTGCCTTACGATTGATGTCGACATAAAAATTACAAATAATTCTGAAAAGAAGTGTGAGCATTAATAAACCGGGATATTTACTACTTGGATAAAACAATGGAAATAGTTTCTGGGGATGGTTGAGAAGAATTTGAATAGCAATGAGTCCCTTATTTTCTAGGTTCTATTTCAAACTTCCGTGATAGTCGAGGGATGGTTGTCGATAGTTGTCATGAAGGAAGTTATCCAAACATTGGGTGTTCTCATGCATTATCCTATTTAACATTGGATTTTTTGAAATGGATTCATGAGAATTATTTGTCTTACCATTTATCTAATCTTCTTCTAATGGACCGTCGTTAGATTTGGATGTTTCTGGACATATAACTTGTCACGGATAATTACCAGCTGGACTTATTTACTAGTAAGTGAAAATTTTATGGACATACTAGTCCTATGAATGATAAATTTATCAATGCAACTTATTCACTTTTGTTTTTGGTTTTATGTGTCTTTGCGAGTTTTAGTTGTTAGATTAATAAATTTACAAATATATTTGAGAAATTTATCATTTTGATATTTGTTTATGTAATAAGTCTTATTCATAGGATTGCCCATGACTACCCGTAATTGTTATTTGGCACTCATCAATTCTCTATATTTACATGACAATGTTTGAAACCCACAAAAAAAATTCACAATTATACTCATAATGATATGATATCATATGTGTTAACTTTTGATTTGTTATACACTTTATGACATGGGGCTCAACTTTGTTGCTACATCATTGTGGGTAAAAGTGTGAGTCTGTAACATTACTCTATGTACCCTTAAAAATCAAGACTCTACTAGTAACTATTCATTTTCTTCATCATATGCTTGGAGCATGGACGCCTAGACCGTCATATCAACTTTGGTAAGGATTTTTTTTTCCAATTTATGTTTGTCCTTCCATTTTAAATAATGTTAGATTAACCCTTTGGTTTGATATCAAATTTATTGAGGGAGGAAAAGTAAAATCAAAATGAAGTTATTTTTATTTTTTATGAGTAACCAAACAAAAAATGTTGTTTTGAACAAAATCATTGTATTCTCATTTTTCTTGACTGCTCAAACTAAGGAAAGGACTTTGATTTCTTTTGAAGAGAACTATTGTTTAGAAAAATAAGATTCCTCGAAAAAAAATGTTTAGAAAAATAAGGAGACTTGAAATCATGCTGGAGGCACATTTTTGATGAATTGGGGATTTAGTCATGAAAACTGACAATTTTTTTTTTTGAACATCATGAAAACTGACATTTGGACACCCCAAAATTGGAGATATTATCTACTTGGTTTGGTACATATCTTATATGGGGTGCTCTACCAATTGTACAAGGGTATGTAATTTTTTTCCCCTTGTGATCTGTCTTGTTGATTATGGGCGATCAAAGTTTTGTTTGGATTCTTTTTAAAATCTGTTTTTCAGAAAAACATTAAAAATTAATTTATAGTGAAAAAATAAGAAAAATTTAAAAGAGACTTGTCATTTTTTTTTTATTTTATTTATTTATTTTTGGTGTGTTCAAAAATAGTTTCTGAAAATTCAAAAACATCTTTTTGATGTTTATTTTCACGAAGTTAGTGCCAAGTGTTTTTCAAAAATAGAACAAAAAATGTCGCTATTTAAATTAATAGAAAAAATGCCACAATTTCCAGTTACATTAATTCTCCTTTTTCTTTTCTTATTTTGCATTGTCTATAATTTTTGGGTTTGAAATAGGGATTCGAGCATGTCTGTCTTTCTTTTTTGTTTGTCTGTTTGTTTGTTATGTTGAGGATGTAGTCATGGGAAAAAATGAAATTCAGTCACACTTCTAAATGTACTTAGTCAAGTGTAGTAAAACTGTATTTACTTTATTTGAGCATTCAAATGGTAAAATAAATACTGAAAGGTGGTACATTTTTATAAAAACTATACATTACATTCTCGCAGTGATTGAGAGTGTGACTTGAGTCACTTTTTAAGGTGACCAAATATGAGTTTTCGTGATTGAATTCCCATTTCAACGAAGAAATGGAAAAAAATCCGATCACTGGACAAAATAATTTCCAGGATCTCTAAGGACTTGAATGCGGAGAATCCTAGGACAATTTTTATTATTATGTCTCTATCCTCATTAGAAGCCTTCGCCACAATTTTTTTTCTGACAAATTTTCTTCGTTTTTTATCATAGGAAAATCCTCCATCACCAATTATTAAAAACTATAGTTTTTTTTTTTTTTTTTAAATAAAGACCTAATTGATGGTTACACTAAGAAAGGCTCACATGGTTTTATCGAGCTATTGACAGTATATGACAAGATACGTTTATTCAATATTATTATTTACTCACATGTACAACATGCATTGATACACTCACTCGTACAATTATAGGACAACTAGTATGAACATGTAGAACATAACAAGACGGTAATACATAGTATATAAAATAAACATCTTCACATGTTTCACCAACAATTTGAGGTTAGAGAGGGGTTAGAAAGTCAATTTTGCAACTCTTACTAGTCTGTTTATATGAACGATGTATCATGAGACTTTGAAAACTTATGTCAACAGTAAGGTGCCACAATGAAGGAGATTGTGAGAACTGTATTGGGATCAATGCCATTAGTTGTGCAATCTTAGCCTAATTGTAGTGGAAAAAGCAAGGATTTCAAAATTATGATTATTGTGACTTCCAAATGGTCATCACTTTGACATGTGAAATCAAAACTAGTCTAAATAGGCAGTGTACGCGCCCCCCCCCCCCGCCAAAAAAAAAAAAAAAAAAAAACAAAAAAATAAAGTTTGGAATGCCAAGCACAGACAATTTGATTATGAGAAATATTATATATCATTTTTTTTTTTTTTTTTTTTTACCGTTTTGTGTCACTAGAATACATGGTAAAATATCATTTGTTTTCATTAATTTTTTAATAATTATTACCAAACAAATGAATTAATCATGAGTATTCATGTAATCGTAATAGAAAATGAAAATAAAAAAATCAATGACATTATTTCACTTTGATTACGGCAATGAATGAAAATAAAATAAAATTCCTTAGGGACCCTCTCACCCTTTTTTTTAAAACTGTATATTGTACAAGTTGTTCTTGAGGTAAACAGTCACAAAAGCCTCAACCACGAGACCATTTATTTATTTTTTGGTGCTTGAGAAAAAACACAACTGCAAAATAACTGCTGGAAAGTTTTTCAAATACATTTTTTTGTTCATCTCAATTTTAAAAACAACTTAAATTTCAACAATTCTTTTGAAAGTATATCAAAATATACAAGTAATAAGATCTTCTCAATGAAAAGTTACTTTTGCTCCGTCAACAAAGATGCAACGGTCTCAAGAGTTCCATGATCGCGGAAAACCTTACTCTAAATATAGAGGGGTTGGGGCATTAATGCCTAAGTGCACCGCATAATTTCTTGGTTATTAATTTCATTGGGGATAATTCTATTTGTACACCGCAAAAATCTCAGTACACAAACTTCCAAATAAAAATCAAATGCTTGGACATAAATTTCTTAAAAAAACAATTGTCCAGACATAAACAGTTGAACATAATGTATATCTAAACCTAGTATAACAAATAAACCCTAAACATATTGACATGGGCCTCACATAATTCTGGGACAAAAGATTAAAGCTCTTTCACAATAAACAATTTACTCCGTCGTTCATGACAGTAAAAACTCTCAAATTCAATCTCAAAATTACTATATGTTTTATCAAATCTAAATTTGAATTATTCTTCTCAAACAACTAATACCCAAATCTTTTTGTTTCAAATTCATAACTCTAAATACAACCTTAAAGAGTATACAGATTAAAACTGATTTTCCAAGGGCAAAATGGAGATAAAAATCTCATACATGAAACATATAGGTGAAGATAAAGAGTGTTACGCATAACTGCATTATTATTTGGAGCATACAAGTGTAAACCCTATATCATTTACATCAACTAGATATTTACAACTCATTCTCACTGTCCCCTAATAAATATCTAAAAAAATATAATAGCACCAAAAGGACCAAGCATAAACAATTTTTAAATTTTTTAAAAAACATACACCTGGCCTTTAAGATGATTCTTCTGGCTTCAAGACATTATGATATTCCAACTGAGTCATCTCTCCACCAGCCACTGGGTTGAATTGACATCGGTAGAAGCTGCATGAATAATTTTATTTCTGGTTATTAATTTCGACAATTTCTTTTATACGAACCAAGAGAGAAAGAAAGGGGAGGGAGGGACAGATTTGAATATTTTATTTATTTTGTCAACAACAAAGAAATTTTAATAATAGCAAAATGAAAACAAAGTATACAGAGACAAGAAATAAACAACGCGAACAAAAGGTTCCCCAAAACTGAAGAAAACATAAAAGGTATCATGAACTACAAAAACCATCCAAAGATTCCAACCACAGACTTCAAAGAACCCAAGAACTGCCACTTAACCCAAAACCTCTAAGATAAATGCATAACAGGTGAATATTTAACAAGAGCATGAGATCCCTTGAACCCCATCAGCACCATGTAGAACAAATCCAATGGTTTCTTTGCGAGTGGTAGAAGAACCAAGCCAACTGCTTAGTTGTTGTGTTATGTGGACTCTTCCATTTCCTCCAAAGTGTCTGTGTCCACTAAATATGACAAGAGTAAGGGTGTGGGATGTGTCTGACACCCATACCCAATTTGGACATTTGGATCCTCATTTTTTACGATATTTGAAGAATAAGAAATCTCATTTGTTAGTAAAGAACAATTCTAGCGTCTCACATCCGTGCTTCTTAGCTAAACAAGATAAATTTGTAAAGGTTGGATGACGAGGATACCACAGCCCAACTGGCTTTGACAAATAGGAGAACAGACGAACATGATATATGGAGACAATGAGTATTTGAACCTTTTTGTGATTGTGTTATCAACTCTTCAACTTAAAGATAAATATGATTTTTTATTTTTATTTTTATAAATAAAAGATGAAAAATTAAAAGAATTCAATTCAAAGGTGACCCTAAATGCATACATGACTTGATAAATAAATTTCAGACCCAAATGCAAGTATCTATCCTTTTGGGATTGTTTTCCTGGAAAAATATAATTTCACATGCACCTAAAATCATGAAGCCAAAATAGCCTACAAAGCTTCACTTCAAATAAGTTAGGAACATAGGCTAAAATTGTGTTTTGCTTTGGTTATAATAAGCTTTCCCTCTAATACAAACCAAGTAATTCATAGAGCTGATTTTATTATAATTATTTCTATTCATGTATTTACTGCCTTTACCTCCCATCCATGCCAAGAATCACTACAGTGTCTTTCTCGTGGCCAAAAGCAACAATATAATTACATCCTTCCTGCAAGTGAAACTGAGCCAGTGACCACTCTGAGCTGAAATATTTTGGCAGCACACCTACGAAATAACAGCATCATAGAAATTATAGCACCGAAGAATAAATAACAGTCCTAATTTTTTTTAATAAACATCACTGGAGCATAATCCACAGTGCTTATCCTATTAATTATCTGATGCTTTGATAATACCAATGCTGTTGAATCTTGATATGCATCGTGTATTGTTTAATCACTTTTCTGCTCATGCGTCCTGAATTCCTGATAATAATTCCAGACACGGGCCTTAAGATGATCCTATGGAGAGTATCCCCTTTTTCCTTGCCCCCCCTGATCTACCCCAGTGGTATTGGGCTGGCCTGTACATTTAGCCGTGGCCACTCCTATTCTTGCAGACACAGGCCCTTCAATGTAAGGCCTTTGGTACTTACTTAAGCGCATCAGCATACCTTTGGATCCTTTACATGACCGAACATTTTTGGTACTCAATAAAGCCCATGGTAAGGAACTTGATCAGGAGACAAAAATTGTTTGGGAGGTGGAGAAATCGAAGAAGCCAGTGAAGCAAAATACAGGATGTATCTCTACTTGTGAGCGAGGGAAATGAGGTGTCAGCAAAACAGAAAGAAAAATGAGGGGATTGAGGCATCAGAGTGGGTTATGAAATGGTTCAAAAGACCAGGAAAAAATTTGAGGGCTCCTTGCGAGGGATTTGAGAATGATGATTTGAAGCTGTTACTAGCAATGGAAGCAAAGAAGAGTCCTAAGATGGATGAAATGTCTGCAAGGCAGCAGTAGAGGAAGCAAAGATAGAAGTGGAAGAGAGATAAAAATTTGGTGAGCACCATCAGTTATGATGATAGAGATTTAAAAAAAAAGGGTATTTTAAAAAAAAGGGTTGGAGTGGAAGAAGGTCAAGGGGGGATTTATGGGAGGTAGGCACACCTCTTTTACATGGTTAAAGGGTATGATCTAACTTGCTTGTGCCTGAGCTACAAGGCAATGGATGCAGAAAGTCCGACGTCAATTTTTGGTGCAATTCACACAAGTAAACAAACTAGAATGTATGGCCCCTTAACTCTTCAAGAATACATAAAAGGCTAAAACTTTGGGTACATACATCTTTTGCTGCCTTGATTTTTATGGTTTCCTGAACAGAAACTTAATATTATTAATTGTTGCACTGAAATCCCTTATTGCAAATTTCTTGAGTAGCCATTTAATACCGGCAACTGAAAAAAGAAAGGAGCAATGCAAATAGATGATACCTTTAATAAAGGAAAGAGATGAAACAGCAGGTGCAGTAGACAAGTTTGGTTCAGATGCTCTGCGTGATCTCTCGATCCCTAATGATCCTGAATCTAGTTTCAGGCGGAATACATGGACAGTTCCCTTAGCACTTGAGGCAGCGAGCCATTGTGCAGATGAAGAGAAAGCAAGACAGTAAATCTCAGCTCTATCTGCACCTCTCCTTACCTCCATCAATATAGCCAAACACAAACAAAATTCAGAATGATACATACAAAAGTTAGAGACAAAATAAAACAAATAAATTGTTGGAGTTTTACCACACAAAAACTACCCTTACCCAATATGGTAACAACTTAAGACCACAGATTTCATCCTAAAACCATTAAAACATAAATAAAAATTTATAAATACAAAATACAAAAATAGAAATAATTTGAAAAACTCCTCCTAATCATAAAAAGGAGTCGACCTTAGGCATAACTAAAGATAACGAACTCAACCAAGAATATTGCAGCTGAAAATACACAAGCAAAGCTGAGCCTCAAACTTATAGGAACTACAAAGATAAACTCAGGAAAAGAAAAAATAAATAAATCAGAAAGCAGCCTACTTTGATTATTGCATATCATACCACATAAGTATCCTGGAAGCAGAAATTAGATAATACCATAAAAGAAGGTTCTAGTGGGAACTTCACACAATAACATTCAAACTAAAGAATGCCGATGATTCATGCAGTTCTTTCTGCCATCAATATAGTATACAAATGAGCGAGCTTACGTACAGACTTTATAAATTCAGCTTTCATGCGCAAATGTATATAAACAATAAAATACAAAGAAATTACAAATTGCACCACAGTTTTGAAAAATTACATTGACCTCCCCTAAAATAACTGTACGGTTAACAGTGTCAATGGAGGTGGTTCATTTACAATATGACCCCTATATATTTTGTATTTAAATATATATTGATTTCAAACAACATAATTACCCCTATATAATGGATTTATCTAATTACCTTCATTTGTTGTGTATTATTTAAATATGAAACATGTGCATTTAGATGCATTTGATGTTTGAATATAAGGATAATGACAAGTAAAATAAATATAATTAGTCTAAAAAATGATGACATAATTATTTTTCATCTGTTTGACCAAAGAGTATTACAGCATTTATATTTTAAGGGAGCACATTATGATTATACCAAAATTGTGAGGCTAACTGTAATGGAGGTCAGTCCAAAAAACAAATTCTCAGCTTCTGATGCCTAACTACTGAAGCTCAGTTTTTTCATAAGTTTTTTATTTTTAAAAAAAGAAAAAAAATTTTGTCATTGTTTCATGTTCTCCAGAGGCTTCAATGTAATCCTAGTTCAGCTCTTGAAACCTTATACTTTCTTAGTTCATGCTAGGTTGTGACCATCAAAATTCATAATAAAGAATGAGCATATATACAGAGACAAGTATATACATATGTAAACACATTTCTATATATATATATATACCTCCTGAAGTAAAGAGCCATCCAAAGTATTGAAAATCCGAACCAATGTCCCCTTGCTGCTCGCCGTAGCTAACAATCTCCCATCATGAGTGAGAGCAAAGCACGCAATTCTCGAATCATGAGCCACTACATACTTGCTCCTTTTCAAAGCATAATGCTCAATCCTCACCTGCCCCTTTTGCAACCCAGGGCACACCAACACCATCGACCCCGACAGCTGCGAAACCTCGCAGAGTCCTTTGGGATTCGGAGCAGTCTCAATTTGATGAAACAACTTCAAGTCCGAGAAATTATACACAAAGATTTTCTGATCCAAAACCACCACAATCCGATCACGCCTGAGCCGAACCGACTTCACCTCGGACCGGAACGAGAGCTCGACGATGCAGCGGCCCTCGTTGTCGTCCCAAATCATGACCTTGTTCGAGGGGTACTGAGGCTCGGAGCCACCGCCGACCAAGGCGGAGATGTTGAAACCGAAAAGCATACGGACGATGCCGATGCCGCCTCCGCCGTCGAATTCTCGCCGGAAAAACTCGCGGAAGGGGTCGCAGTTGTAGATTCGGAAGCCGCGGTTAGTGCCGGCGGCGAAGTAGCGGGAGTCCTGGTTGAAAGAGAGATGGAGGAGAGTTGGATTAGGGTTAGGGTTTGGGGGTGTGGTAGTGGTGGAGGAGGGAGAGTCGGGAGGGGATGGAGGAAGGTTGTGTGCCATGAGGTGTGAGCAGGGTATGGAATTGGGGAAGTTAGGGTTAGGAAGGAACCAAGAGGAAGAAGGGTGGAGAGAGTGTTGTGGTTGAGGTGGGTGACATTGGAAGGAACATGTAAAGTGGGGTTTCACCGGCGGTGATTTTCGGAGAAACAGGGACTGATAGCGGGGTTTTTCATATTTTTTTTTTTAACTTTATTTATTGGGTAATTTTGTTACTGTATAAGATAGCATTTATAAATTTTATTTTTTCAATTAATTATGTCAAATAAAAAGTTTTAATAATGAAGTATTTGTAATTTTTAAAATATGAAGGGCAATCTGTATTTTAAATAAACTTTAAGAGATATATTTGTCATTTATCCCTATTTATTTTATTTAGGGGAAATTATAAAAACAATCATAGAATTTGAGCTTTGTAACAAAATAATCCATGAGTTTTTAATTTTATCAATTTAAATTCTATTATTTTGATTCGATTTCAATCTAAATCATCCGTTTATTTTCGTTAAGTAAAACTGACGGAAAAATAGTATTTTACTTATTAAACTCAATAAAAAATGGTATTTTAAACAATTTTCATACATTTTTTCACACTTATATTGATTTTAATAACTAAAATAATTTTTTTTTATCAATTTTACTTAATGAAAATTGACAAATGATCTAAATTAAAAAAAAATCAAAATATTAGATTTTAAATTGATAAAATTAAAAATTAAAAATTTATTTTGTACAAAAGATTCAAATTCCGTTTGGAGAGTGGGTTGACTTTTTAATTTTTTGAATTATTTTAGCCTGGGGTTAAAAAGCTTGGTTTGGGAAGAACTTTTGGCTTTTTTGGTTTTTTTGACTTTTTTGTAAGAGAAAGAATGTAATGATTATAGATTGGATGTGATGTTGTCTTATTAGATTAAAAAACCTATTTTATTTTTTGTGATTATTTTAGCCAAAAAAACCTCTAAACCAACTTTCCAAATGGAGCAAACACTCGATTTTTTTAGTAAAAAAAAATATTTTATTTATTTGTCATTTGAAATATTATATTATTTCCATCTATCGGACTTATTTGTTTAAATAACACATAGATAGAGATTATGGCTTGTTTTAGGAAGTTGGCTTTTAGTTACTTTTTTTGGTTTGTAGCAAAAGTTAAAAGTTGGTTTTTTTTTTAAAAAAAAATTCATTTGGGAAGTTGGTTTTTAGCCAATGGTGAAATTACAATTCTACCCCTCATAGGTCAAAATGTTATATGGGTGAAATTGTAAATATTTTAAACTAAATGGGGGTAGTTTGGTCATTTTATTATGATTTGACATCATAAACAAATATTAATCAAAAAAGCCAAAAATCACTTTTTACCAACTTCTCAAATCATTTGTCTGAAAAAATCAAAAACTTAGTTAAAAGCCAAAAAATCACTTTTATCATCTTTTCAAAATAAGCCTATATATATATCGCCAATCACCATTGCCACCGACATTTTCCATGGTGGCTTTGATTTTTGAAAAAATTTCTGATGATGAACTATTGCGACAAGCATTGATTGTAGGGTATGAAAATAAAATAGTATAATAGAAAATATACAAAGGTACAAAATTAAAAAAAAAAAAAAAAGTTACGGCCGGTCCTATAGATCAAACTTAATTCCTATGAAATGTTAACCTAAAATAATTTAGTACATATTTCCATTTTACCCCGACATAATTACTTAACTTTTCCATTTTCTTCAATCACTCGTCTCTTTATTTCTCTCTCTCTCTCTCTCTGAACCACTCTCAACCTCTTACATCATCTTCAACGCCCATCGCTTCAAACACTGCCGTCTTCTGTCGCCTTCAACGTCGCTTGCCTCAACCACCGCCATCATCGTCATCTTCCCTCACTATCGTCGTTGCTTTCCTCACACTAGCACTCTTCCTCCTTTGCCATTACCGCCGTTTGTCACCATCATTTTCTTCTATCATCAATCTGATATATTCAACGGTTATAATGATGGATTTGCTTCTCTTATTCCAGATCTCTTATTTTTTACCACAATCTTCATTGAAGTCTTTAGATCTAGCCATTTCCAATGCCAATCTAGTATCGTTGCTCTCGTCGACATTGAGATATGACCATGATATGCTCGCCGAAGCTCCTGCTAGTGAGTTCGAGTCTCGCTATGAACCAAATTTGTTATCTATAAAATTGAAGAACTAGCCAGATTTACTATGATAAATTTATCATAGATATTGAACAAAATCATATTGAACAACAACAACAACATCAATATCAACATCATATTAAACAAAATTAGTGATAAATTTATTACTAAAAAATCCAGTACAACAGAGCATATTGAACAAAATTAGTGATAAATTTATCACTCAAAATTTCAGCACATCAACAGCAACATCATATTGAATAAAATCAGTGATAAATTTATCACTCAAAAATCCAGCACAGCTGTTTCGATGCATATTGAACAAATTAGTGATAAATTTTTACTGTTAAAAAAAATTATCAGAAAAAAGATTCAGAAAAATGTCATAATCATTCATCAATATTCCCAATATCAACATAATTCAAAAAATCCGCAATACCCATACTAGTAACTGCATTATGTTTTAGTGATAAATTTATCACTGAAACTATAATTAAAAATATATAAATGTGTATATATGTATACAACAATCTCCAATAAACACACAAACAATCTCCATATTGTGATTAACAAATGATTTAAAATAATAGGACGGTGATGGAGGAGGACGATGGTGGCAATGACGATGTCGAAGATAACAAATGAATGATGGAGAAAGAGCAATGGTGATGGCAACAAATGAAGAGGAATGTGGTGTTAGGTGAGCGACAGCAGTAGTAAGAGAGAATGACGAGGATGGTGGTTGAGGTGAGTGTTGTTGATGATGACGGAAAATGATAGTGGTGTTAGACGAGCAACAAAAGCGGCGAGGGAAAATGATAGAATGGTGGTTGAGGCGAGCAACGGTAACAGTAACAGTAAGGGAGTCAAATAACGTTAACTGTTGTGTCAGCGAGAGAAATAGTGCACAAAGAGAGAGGGAGAGAGAGAGAGACAAGAGAGAAATAGATAACATAAAAACATTATTTAGGGCAACATGGGCAAAACTAGAAGAAAAAATTTACAACAAGACTTATGTGTGCATAAGACTCTAAGTCAGGACCTAATGAGTAATAAGTCGGAAAAAAGAGGATTGATTGGTAGATTACCTAAAAAATAATTATTTAAAACAATGATTTGTACTTCTTATTAGGAATGGACAAATCTTGGGCCAGACCGAGTTTGAAGCAGGCTTATACTAGGGGACTTACCAGCCGGTCCCATGGAAATAGGTTAATACCAGTCAAGTCATGTCCTATTTCCATTTCCAATTCCAATTTTACCTTTCAATATCACACCACACGCGTAAAGCAAAGAAGCCATCACGAGCTCTCTCCTGCACGCGTGACACACACGCGCCTTTTCAAAGATTTTGTTACAGACGAACCTGTGAAGATTTGGAAACCATTCTGAGGTGATTTTCGATTTGGAAATCGAAACAAACAAAGAGATTTTCGACGAATCTCCCATCTTTTCCAAAGAAATCGGCAATTGTTTTCATACCGATTCTGAACAGATCCCCAACAAATCTTCCACCGTTTCAATCTATATTCAGATTCGGACATCTACTCTCCCTGTTTAGTTCATCTTCAACAAACATGCCAATCAAACGTGAATCGTACTCATTTTCCCTTCTTCTTTCATAACTATAATTAAGTGATAAAATTTGACTTGAAGCTATTTTCAATGTGTTTCATACAGTATTAATTTATCAGTGACATTCAACTTCATAATAATCATATATTCATGTTCATTTGCTATACAATTGTTTACTTTTGCTAATTCAGTGATTAAATTTGTTATACAATGATAGATTTGTTTACTTTGCCTAAATCAGTAATAAAATTTGCAATAAGAATTATAGATTTGCTTAATTTTCCTAATCGAGTGATAACATTTGATATGCAATGATGAATTTCCTTACTTTGCCTAATTCAGTGATAAAAATTGTTATAGCAAAAATAGATTTGCTTAATTTGCCTAATTGAGTGATAAAATTTGTTATAATGATGGATTTGCTTCTCTTATTCTTTCATAACTATAATTAAGTGATAAGATTCGACTTAAAGCTATTTTCAATATGTACATACAGTATTAATTCAGTGATATTCAACTTTATAATAATCATATCTTCATGTTCATTTGCTATATAATGATAAATTTGCTTACTTTTGCTAATTCAGTGATAAAATTTGCTATACAATGACAGATTTGCTTACTTTGCCTACTTTAGTAATAAAATTTGCTATAGCATTGACAAAAGGTGCTGACCATGCAACCTATGTGTAATGACCCCAAAACGTGTGTCATATTTATCAGTAATTAATTATGTGTTTATGCGAATTAATTGAAGAATATCTGTTTGAATTAGAAGAATATCTGTTGAGATGAGAACTTTGGGACTGAAATTGATGACCGTAATGGGTTCAGAAAACGAAATTGAGCACGCCTATGTGATACCGGGAATTTTTAAAACCATTTGGGAAAATAAATTGAAGACTGAATTTCGTCTGATTCGTTAAGCCTTGTTTGGCTCAAGATTATGGCACAATTCTATTTGTTTTATGATATATCTATACATAGATAAGGATGTTGACTCTTTGACTCAAAAATAAGAAAAGAAAAGTCTAGAAAGAGAGAGAGAGAGAGAGAAGAATTTGTGGAGGGAAGAACCAAGGAAAGAAGAAGAGTAAAGAAAGGGGAAATCAAGCTATCTTCTTCATTTAAACAATTAAGGTAAGAATTCCTCTCTAATTTCTTGAAATAAGGTTGATTCATGCATGACCTCATGGTAACTAAGTGGATTGAAGAGGAAATATGTTTAATTTGAGCATGTATGGCATAAATTGATGATTTATGTTTATATTTGGCATTTTTGAGGAAGAACCTCCATAGATATGAAGAAGTGAAGCTTTTACATGAATAGTTACGATTTTTCACCCCAATTCATGGTTTGATCTTGTATATGATGCCTTTGGGTTTGTTTAGAAGCTATAATGTTTAATTTAAGTTGTTGG